AAAAAAAAAAAAAAAATTAATTTTTATTTCAAAATATTAAGCAGGTACAGGTGTTTTTGTTACATTGATGAATTATATAATGCTGAAGTCAGGACTTTTTTTTTGGCAATTTCACTCTGCCACCTGGGCTGGAGTACAGTGGTGTCATCACAGCTCACTGCAACCTCAGACTGCCGGGCTCAAGTGATCCTCCTGCCTCGGCCTCCCAGAGTGCTAGGATTGCAGGCCTGAGCCACTGCGGCTGGCCACGAAGTGAGGGCTTTAGTGTGCCGTGGCAGCACCTCTTCCCAGGGAAGCTCCTGCAGCATCTGCATGCCAGCTCGTGGGAAGGGCTTTGCATGGCCTGTGTGGTGGGGGCAGGTGCAGGGGCCTGGACAGCCCCCACGGGGAGGTGCCCGCTGCCACTAGCAGACAGGCAACCAGAAACAGCAGCGATCCCAGATCTTGCTTCCTGATGTGGGAATTAGGACTGTTCAGGGTTCCCCTTTAACGGCGCAATGACCTGTGATGTAATGTTTAACCACTTTGGTACGGGGCTCACTGGCCGAGGAACCTTGCCCACAGCCGGCACTCACAGTCCGCACGGCAGTCTGTGCTGTGCATTGAGGATGAGTCCGTTTTGCTCTTGTGTGATGAGGAAAGCGTTAAAGCACTGAAAGTTTGTTTTACTTTACAGGCAGCTTTACTTGTAAATCAGAATAGATAACATATACAGATATGTTTTCATTACGTTATTTTTAAATGTTCACAATTTTATTTTGATAAATGAAAAATTAGAAAAGCCATATCACGGCTGTCGGCTAAAGTCAACGCTTGGCTGTGCGCGTTTATCTGTGGCTGTCGACTGTAGTCGACGCTCGTACCGAAGTGGTTAAATGTCCAAATGCAGGACCTCCTTTGGGGTAGAAATATACAAAATTTTTCAAAAGAGTGTAAGAAAAAATTTTTTGCCTCGTACTCAAATGTTTTCTGCAAGCCCTGTATGCTCAGACAGCTTGGCCCTCTCTCCTCTGTAGTGGAAAGTGTGGGCTCATGCTCAGAGGATCTCATTCATGCCAACTGCTTGCAAATCAGGGTTATGTAAAGGAAGGATGGGTGCCGAGCCCCTTCCCTCCCTGGGCACCTCCTGAGGGCTTAGAGAAGGGAAGGACGCACCTGCTCCCCAGTGGAGTCTCGCATTCCCTGGCATGGTGGGTGAGTGGGGCACCATGTGGGCTCCGTGTGGGTGCCGTGTGATCCCACCAGAGCACATGGGGTAACGGGCCACATTGCCCAGCTCCTGAAACCCGCAGCCCTGACCCACTGTCTGTTCGCAAACTGTCCAGCACATGCCAGGTGCCAGGCGAGTGAGCCAGCGTGGCCCCTTCCCCAGGAATGCAAACGGCAGCAACCACCGGGCAACCCACACACCTGCCTGCTGTCTCCATGGGCTGACACGTCACTGAAGCAGGAGGGTTGAGCCTTGTGTGGGGTGTGCGTGTGGCTCCAAACCCAGGGATCCATGACCTCACGTCTGACCCGGCATGCCCCCTGAGCCTGCTGCCCTACAGGGAGCGTGTCACACGCCCTCCCTGTCCACAGAGGTGTGTGTGGTGTGCTCGCTCCTGGTGCTCGCCGCTGTCTACCAGCCCCCACCCCAGGAGACTCCCCGCCCGGAAGCAGACCAGAGCTCCCCAGCCCTGCTCAGAAGTGGTGCTGCTTCCTCAGGACCCAGGGAGTGAGGTCCAGACCCCAGCAGGCCCTTCCGAGCTCCAGCCCAGCCCCTCCCCGTGTTCCTGGGCCACCGCTGTGTGGCCTTGGAGCTCTCGCAGGTGGCCTGCCCGCCATGGGCTGCTCCTTGGGTGGCTGTCCCTGCTCTGCACACCTGGTCCCCACTTCTCCAAAGGCCACCGCTGGTGCCGGATCTCTTTGTCTTTGAGCAAGGGCGGTGAGAACGCCTCTGCCACGCCAGCACCTCCTCTCAGGGGTCGACCCCTCCAGGCACGCACCTCTCATGCCCCGGAGCCCAGGCGTGGCAGAGCCACATGGGGAGGGTGTGTCACAAAGCCTGTCTCTGCCTCACTCCTGCCACCAGGCTCCTCGCACCCCGCCCTTGCCAGGTGCCCAGTGCCCCTGTGTTCCCGAGGTCACCTCCTGGGTCTGTGCCTGGCGCCCGTCACAGTCCGTCACGCCAGCTGTGCCGGGTGCCCTCCTCCTATGTCTGCAGGGAGTGGGGTGGGGTCTCGCACATCATTGCCGTGCTGCCACCTCAGCACCTGCCCCTGCACTCTGAGCACTCTGAGGTTAGCTTGGCCCACATCCTCAGTCTTCATGTGCATGAAGTCACACAGCACGCGCCCCCCCCCGTGCCGGTCTGGGGCGCTGCCTCGAGTCCACCTGTGAGCGCACCACCACACAGCCGGCCGTGGCGGGGTCTGTAGGTGCGTGTTTGGGTTATTTTCATTTTTTGGCAACTATGAATGAAGCTGCCCTGAGCCTTTCTGTAGTTCTTTGGGCACATGCGCAGGTGTCTCTGGGTGAATACTGAAGTGGAGGTGTTGGGTCCTGGGTCATGCGCCACAGTTAGTAGATGATTGCATGAGCTTTCAAAGGGGAGTGAGGTAGTTGCTCCACTCCTTGCCAGTCTTCTAAAAATCTTCTAACCCTCGGGAAGGTGTGTAGTAGCATCTGGCTTGGAGTTTCATTTGAGTTTTCTTCGTCATGTCCTGGGCATCGGACACCCTCTCCTGAGCGCCTGCTCCCGTCTCCGGCTGTCCTGCCGTCAAGTTCGCTCTTATCTTATTGACCTGTAGAAGTTCTTATGTATTCTGGAGATGAGCTGCTGTCTGTCCTGTATAGCAAATGTCTTCTCCTGCACCAAGGGTTGCCTTTTCACTCTTTTAATGATATTTTTTTGATGAACAAAACTTCTTAATTTTAATCTGGTGCCATTTAGGAATCTTTTCCTTTAGGGATAGTGCTTCTGTGTCCTGTGTAACGGCTCTTTCCCTATGCCAAGGGCATCAAAAAGTTTTATTATCTTCCGAAGGCTTCTTGATCTGTTGCAGAGATAGCCACTTAGCAAGTGAATTAACGCACTCCCTGCCGGGGGCGGTTTCCCCATTTGCCAGGCACAGCTACCGAGTGCACACCACCGGGGCCAGCGTGGGCATCAGAGCAGACTGGGGTCGTCCAGCAGCCCCTGCGTAAAGCTCCAATGGCTTCTGGAACACAGCCCCCTCTGGGCCTCTGCCCAGTCCAGCCTCTGGGCTCTTCGTGCCGCCAGCTGGGTGGCTTTGCGTGCTCTGGTCCCTCTGTGAGGGGCACTGACCTTCCTGGTCTCACCTGGCATGTCAGCGTCCACAGGCCGCCATGACAGACTGGCACAGACTGAGGGGCTTAACTCAACAGGAGTTTATTCTCCCAGTTCTGGAGAGCAGAAACCCAACGGCAATGTGTGGGCAGGGCCACACTCCTCCAGAGGCTCCGCGTAGGATCCCTCCTGCCTGCTCCAGCTCCTGGGGGCTCCAGGCCATCGGGCTGTGGCCAACTCGCTTCGGCTTCCGTCTCCAGACCGGAACAGGAGGGGCTTGTTACTGCAGCTCTGGAGGCCGGGAGGTCCAAGCGCAGGGCACTGCAGGGCCCGCGTGGACCTGGCGCCCAGCAAAGGCGCGTGGAATGAGGGACCAGCGCTTGAAGGTTCCGCGGTTCTCGCTTAGCCTGCTCAGTACTTCCCGCCAGCGTGGGCATCGGCAGTTGTCTGTGGCATCTGTACGACCGGGTCTTAGAACTCAGATGGAGAAACAGGCAGGCTCTTGGTCTTTATTTTACTCCCTTTGGGACTTGGGCAGGATGTCCGGTGTGATGCTTTAGAGAAGCAGCCTTTGACCTGGACCTCGGGCCTGGGGCTGCGGTTTAACCTCCACTCGGGCTTCGGGCATCTGAGCTCGGGGCCTGGGCTGCATGTCACGCGCAGACAGGCCTCCGTGCTCTCTTGCTGCTCCGCCAGTCTCTGTGGCCGTCTAGTGACCCTAACTGGTGCTCCTGGATGTCCTGGGAGCCCAGGCATCTCTGGCCTGGATAACGGGCCGATGAGGACAACCTTGGCGGGTGACTCTAGTGCTGGAATGTTCCATCCTCCCGCCCTGAAGCAGGGACAGGGCATTGCCAGGTGGCCTGGCAGGGTCTCCTCTCGGCCCCCACAACCTGAGGAGCGGCTGTCCTCACGTCCTCACCTTAGGTCTGTGTGCCAGTGGCTCCAGCCGTCACCCCTGACATGGACCTGCTCCCAGCCCCACACGGAAGACACTCGGGGACCAAGTGCGGTTCCTGGAGACCGAGGGTGCCAGGCGGGTGGGGGCTGGGCAGGCCTTGGTGGGCCAGGGAAGCCCTGCTCACCCGTGTCTCCTTCTGGGAGCCGGAGGAAGGGAGACCGAGTGGGTGAAGCTGGAAGATGCCCACCAGCCACCCCTGCCACGGGCCCTGCCTTCCTGCCTTCCTCAGTTTCCCTTGCTGGAACACGCCTTGCCCGGACTCTCCTCTCCTGCCTGTGCCGTCCTGTCCCCTGCCCACCCCCTGGTCTCCAAGAGGGTCTGAGGCCACACCTGGTTCTGGCGAGCAGCGGGGTGCGAGGTGTCCTCCGTGGGGAGGGCGCTGTTGGAGTGCGCAGACGTCCTGGGGGCGCCTGCTCGGGCTCCGGCCCCGCCCTCCCTCTCACCTCCCCAGCAGTGAAGGGCCCTGCGGGGCTTCGTCCCTGCCAGCCCCCGCTGCCCAGAGGGCAGGAGCGCACCGGCACCCTGGCAGGGGTGGAGCCTCACCCCGTCCCCGTGACCTGGGCTAGAGCACAGCAGCCCGGCCGTGCCTGGCCTCTGGGTGGCCCGTGCCCGCAGGCTGCGGGGACAGCGCTGTGGCTCCGCTGCGTGCGGGGAGGCACAGACAGCCAGTGCCGCTTGGTGCCGGCCTGGGGAGCTCCCACGGTCTGGGCAGCGCAGCGCGATGAGTGGCCACTCACATGGAGTGTCCTGGGAGAGGCGAGGAGAGCCCTGTGTGACCGGAAGCATGGACAGTCGCCAGAAGGCACTGCGCTCAACTGGGCTCTGAAAGAAAGAGCTGGAAACGCCAGTGTGGAGAGCTTGGTGCCGGCCTGGGGTGTCCACAGCCTCTGAATGGCCTTTGTTCCCTGGGCATGTTTACTCGGGCTGGGGACCTGGGAAGCGCTGGCTCGGGATGCAGCGCAGGGAGGCGAGTTCTTCAGGGACTCTGCCCACTCCCTCCCACTGAGGGCAGTAGGGAGCCTCCCTTGCCCGGCTCCAGGTTGCTGCGGTCTTGCAATTTCACTGTCCCCAGACCTCACTGTGACCAGGGAGGGTCTCGAGAGCCGAGAGCAGCCGTGGCCCCTGCATGGCTGGCCAGGGCCTCGGTGAGCAGAAGGCCTCCCCTTGTCCCGGCGCCCGGCTTCCCTCGGAGCGCTGCAGCTGGCTTTGGGCTTAGCTGGGGGCTTTCCCCCTCCTGTCTCCATCCCCTCCCCTCTCCGCCTCCCCCCGTCCCTGGTCAGCTTCCAGGGACCAGGCCATCATGGAGCCCAGGGGATGTTCTGGAGAGGCTGTCTGGGACCCGGCAGGACTTTCTCCGTGGAGACCCAGAGGAGCCGGAGTTCCTTCCCTTTCCTCCTTTTCTGCACACTCTGGGCTGCGTAGGCTGCCCCTGAGGGTCCAGCCTTGTCCTGCCAGGCTGGACGGCGCCTCCCCGGCATGTCCTCTGCTCGGCTCTGAGCCCGAGGGTGATGGCCAGAGGGGCGCCGTCCACGGGGCCTGGGCAAACCCACGGTCTGTGCAGGGCCACATCAGGTCCTCGGGCGCCTCCATCCCCAGGGTGCCCGGGCCGGCCCTGCTGGCAGCAGAGGCAAGACGCCGGTGCTGCCTGCACAGGAGTGGGGTCTGTCTCGGCAGGGGCTCACTGGGTCTGTGGCCACACCGGTTATGGTGAGCAGCACGGGCCCAAGATGTGCTCCCCGGTGAGGACACGGTGTGGGGTGGTCCAGGAAGGGTCGCAGGCTGCTCCTACGGGTGGAGGGCCCTACCCTGGACAGGGCTTGGGATAAAGATCAGGAGGATCCCGGCAGCACCACAGCTCCCGAGCCAGCCCTGCTGAGGCTAGAGCACTTTGCAGAGAACTGCTGATGGGCGTGGGAGCTGGCAGCCCCTGGGGGCCCTGGCAGTGGCTCAGGAAGACCCACTTTGGGAAGCCCTGCCCACCTGCAGGGCCTGGGGCTGTCACCAGCTAGGAGACACAAGCTCCTGCCAAGTGCAGCAGCCGCCCACCCGTTTCCCAATGGTCTGGCAGCACAGCTCGCCCCACACAGCTCCCTGGGCTACAGCGCACTCGGGGTTGACAATTTGCCCTTAGACAGAAGAGGTGCGTGAGAGGGGCCCAAGCCAGTGCAGCCGTGCAGGGGAGCGTCCTGCGGTGACAGCACGATTGCTGTGGCAAGGAGGCCTTGGCAGCATCTCCAGGGCACAGAGGACGGTGCAGCCCCCCAGGCCCCCAAGTCACCACAGAACCCATCATCTGCAAAGTGGCAATTCTCCAAAGCACACAGGGTGCTGGCTGCTGCCAGGTAGAGACACGCAGAGTGAGCTGAGAACTTGAGTTATGAAGTTTTAGGGGTAAAGGTCACAGAGCATCTTCATCTGCAGACATGGGTTTCCCCTGTGGGAGAACCTGTTCCTAGGAGCAGGCCCCTGGTCCAAGTGACAGGCCCCTGGCCCAAGTGACAGCAACATGGTCCTAGGGACAGGAACGTGGTCCTAGTGACAAGTCCCTGGTCCTAGTGACAGGAACGTGGTCCTAGTGACACGCCCATAGTCCTAGTGACAGCAACATGGTCCTAGGGACAGGAACGTGGTCCTAGTGACAATTCCTTGGTCCTAGTGACAGCAACATGGTCCTAGGGACAGCAACATGGTCCTAGGGACAGGAACGTGGTCCTAGTGACAATTCCCTGGTCCTAGTGACAGGAATGTGGTGGTCCTAGTGACACACCCGTAGTCCTAATGACAACAACATGGTCCTAGTGACAGGAAGGTGGTCCTAGTGACACACCCGTAGTCCTAATGACAACAACATGGTCCTAGGGACAGGAACGTGGTCCTAGTGACAAGACCCTGGTCCTAGTAACAGGAACATGGTCCTAGGGACAGGAACCTGGTCCTAGTGACAAGACCCTGGTCCTAGTGACAGCAACATGGTCCTAGTGACAGGAACGTGGTCCTTGTGAGAAGCCCCTAGTCCTAGTGACAGCAACATGGTCCTAGGGACAGAAACGTGGTCCTAGTGACAAGACCCTGGTCCTAGTGACAAGACCCTGGTCCTAGTGACAGGAACATGGTCCTAGGGACAGCAACGTGGTCCTGGTGACAAACCCCTAGTCCTAGTGACAGCAACATGGTCCTAGTGACAGGAACGTGGTCCTGGTGAGAAGCCCCTAGTCATAGTGACAGCAACATGGTCCTAGGGACAGAAACGTGGTCCTAGCGACAAGACCCTGGTCCTAGTGACAGCAACATGGTCCTAGTGATAGGAACGTGGTCCTGGGTGACAGCCGCCTAGCCTAGGACAGCAACATGGTCCTAGTGACAGGAACGTGGTCCTAGTGACAAACCCCTAGTCCTAGTGACAGCAACATGGTCTTAGGGACAGGAGCGTGGTCCTGGTGACAAGCCCCTAGTCCTAGTGACAGGAACATGGTCCTAGGGACAGAAACGTGGTCCTAGTGACAAGACCCTGGTCCTAGTGACAGGAACATTGTGCTACGGACAGCAACATGGTCCTAGGGACAGCAACGTGGTCCTGGTGACAAGCCCCTAGTCCTAGTGACAGCAACATGGTCCTAGGGACAGAAACGTGGTCCTAGCGACAAGACCCTGGTCCTAGTGACAGCAACATGGTCCTAGTGACAGGAGCGTGGTCCTAGTGACAAACCCCTAGTCCTAGTGACAGCAACATGGTCCTAGTGACAGGAACGTGGTCCTAGTGACAAACCCCTAGTCCTAGTGACAGCAACATGGTCCTAGGGACAGGAGCGTGGTCCTGGTGACAAGCCCCTAGTCCTAGTGACAGGAACATGGTCCTAGGGACAGAAACGTGGTCCTAGTGACAAGACCCTGGTCCTAGTGACAGGAACATGGTGCTACGGACAGCAACATGGTCCTAGGGACAGCAACGTGGTCCTAGGGACAGCAACATGGTCCTAGTGACAACAACATGGTCCTAGTGACAGGAGCGTGGTCCTGGTGACAAGCCCCTAGTCCTAGTGACAGCAACATGGTCCTAGGGACAGGAATGTGGTCCTAGTGACAAGCTCTTGGTCCTAGTGACAGCAACATGGTCCTAGTGACCAGAAGACGTGGTCCATGTGACAGCAACATTGGGTCCTAGGGACAGGAAATGGTGCTCCTAGTGACAGCACACATGGTCTAAGGAACAAGGCAGCATGGTCCCCTAGCACATCAACTATGTCTAGTGACATCAACATGGTCCTAGTGACAGTAACGTGGTCCTAGGGACAGGAACACGGTCTAGGGGACAAGAACGTGGTCCTAGGAGACAGCAACGTGGTCCTCAGGGACAGGCAACGTGTCCTAGGGACAGGAACGTGGTCCTAGGGACAGTAACGTGGTCCTAGCGACAGGAACGTGGTTCTAGGGACAGCAACGTGGTCCTAGGGACAGGAACATGGTCCTAGGGACAGGAACGTGGTCCTAGGGACAGCAACATGGTTCTAGGGACAGCAACGTGTTCCTAGGGACAGGAACGTGGTCCTAGGGACAGCAACATGGTCCTAGGGACAGGAATGTGGTCCTAGGGACAGTAACGTGGTCCTAGGGACAGCAACATGGTCCTAGGGACAGAAAGGTGGTGCTAGGGACAGGAATCTGGTCCTAGGGATACCAACATGGTCCTAGGGACAGTAACATGGTCCTAGGGTCAGCAACATGGTCCTAGGGACAGTAACATGGTCCTAGGGACAGCAACGTGGTCCTAGGGACTGGAACGTGGTCCTAGTGACCAGCCCCTAGTACTAGGGACAGGCCCCTGGTGCTAGTGACAAGAACCTGGTCCTAGGGATAGGAACTTGGTGCTGGTGACAAGCCCCTAGTCCTAGTGACAAGCCCCTGGTCAGAGTGACAGGAACTTTGTCCTAGTGACGGGAACCTGGTCTAGTGACAGGATCCTGGTCATGATAACAGGCCCCTGGTGCTGGTGACAGGAACCTGGTCCTAGTGACAGGAAACCCAGTCCTAATGACAGGAAACTGGTTCTAGGGACAGGCCCCTGGTCAGAGTGACAGGTCCCTGGTGCTGGTGACAGGAACCTATCACCTAGTGACAGGTCCTAGTGACAGGACCTGACCCTGCTCACAGGCTCCTTGCCCAGGTTGCTGTCACCTCACTGGTGCCCCAATTTCTAGTCCTGTTGGGTTTCTCTGCTCTGAGGCTGCTGTGGCAGCTGTTCCTCTGCCTGTCATGTCTTGGATCACATTTCCACAGGTTTTGTTTCAGGCAGGCAAGTGGCCAGAAAGTCCCAGAGAGATTCATCCTGGGAAGTGGGTTCCATGGGGCCTCTTTGGAGCAGGGCAGGCTGTGAGCTGGTGGGCAAGTCCGGGCCGGGTGTCTGAGCCCAGTGGGGACAAGGGGCGCAGTTTCCAGGCCCGTGGCAGTTGCTCCCCCAGGGCAGCTGCCTCTGGGCATGAAGCTGCCCCAGCCTCCCTCTGAGGTCTGTAATTCCAGCCTCTGCCCTGGTCTTGCCTTTCCAAGCCCTCCTTTGAAATGCAAATCCAGTAACACAGTCTGTCAGCTCCCTGCTCTTACCCTCAGGAGAGCCTGGGCCCACAGACCTTGCAAGACTCCACGGCCTCACTCGGGCTTCCCTGGGCTCTAGCACAGAAGGAGCAGCTGCTGGTGGGTGGGCTGCTGAGTAGGGGTCTCAAGGCCAGGGGACAGAGACACATCCCTCCTTCAGGAGACCCACAGAGGTACAGGCCAACAGAAGAGAGGTTCAGGATGCTCAGCTGGGAGTGTAGGGCGCTCAACTGAGGGTGTAGGGCACTCACCTGGGATGCAGGGTGCTCACCTGGGGGTATTAGAGCTCACCTTAATGCAGGGAATGCACCTGGGAGTGCAGGGTGCCCACCTGATATGTCTTCCCTTTATTGTGGCACGCTGGGGGTCAGCAGTTTGTCTTCCTAGAGGGTGGGCCGGGACCGTGCTCAGAGGGGAAGGCTACAGGCTCCCAGGCTTACTGTTGGTCTGGACGCCTCCATAGTCCAATGAATCTCGGCACCTTCAGTTTATTTTTAAATTAAATTTAGTCTTATTACTGTCATTATGGAAATAGCACATGGATTTAATGAGGCAACTCAGACAATAGAGAAGAGCACACAGGGTCGCACCCTTGTCCGCAGCCCCGCCTGTGCCGCCGGCGCTGGCGGCCCCCACCTGCATGGGGAACGTGCTCCCGACAGCTCTGGCCCGCTCCCGCCGGTCTCCCAGGCTGGAGGTGTGTGTGCAGCCTTGCTCAGCTTCCCGCAGCAGCAGGCAGAGCCTAACTCATTCTGTTAGCTTGATTTTTACATGCCTTTTAAATATTTTGTTACGCTAATACATGTTCGGGGCAAAACAGAACAACAAAAACCTAGAACAGAGCTTGGGCGCACGTGTGAGCCACCTGCTGCTGAGTCGCGGCGTCTCCTCCGCCCCCGCCCTCCCACCCGTCCTTCGTCCCAGGGGCCTCTGGGCGGCATGGGAGGCGGCAGGCGCGGTCAGGAGTCTCCCGAGAACCGGCCCTCCGCCCCGGCCGAGCTGGGCCTCGCTCTGGGAACGCACGTGCAGCAGCAGACGTCACCTGGCGTCGCCACGCCCCGCAGCTCGGTGGAGAAGGTCCCGGCCAGCTGACCCCAGGGCGGGCTGAAAGGGGCTGTGCTTTTCCACACTCGGGGCCTCCCTGGCCGCCCCCACATCAACTCTAGTTTTCCCGGACTTTCCTCCCAGGCCCCTTCTGGGCTGGCCGCGGCGCTGTCCCTCTCCAGGCGGCCGCGCGGCTCCTGCGTCCACTCCGTCCTCCGCGTGGTCGTCCGCAGCCGCCCCTTCCCGGAGCCGGGGCGCGGGGCGCGTCTCTGGGCTGCGGGCCCTGCGGGCGGCTGCTGTGCGGGGAGCTCCCGCCGGAGCGTTTCTCCCGGGACTTCACAGCGCGGGCTGTCGTCCTCGCGCGCAGGCACACGGCCCGTGTCGTGCCCGCACACCGCGGGGAACCAGCACGAGGCGCCGGACCGTCCTGGCGCCCCGACCACGCCCGGGCCCTCCCGCCTGCTGCGGCCGAACTCCCGCACCGCCGCCCGCTGTCGTCGCTCACCTGCTTGTTCGCACCTGCGTGGCCGCGCTCACGCGGGCGGGACGTGCCCGTGCGCTCAGTCCTCGCGTCTCCCCTCGCGGCCACCCGGGTCCCCACGTTTCCCGTTTCCCGACAAGGCGGCGGGCTCGGCGGCCGTTCGCGATGTCGCCGCGGCCCCTCGGCCCTCCCGGGTTCTGCGGTGGTGTTCAGGCGTCGGTGCGCGACGCGTTCCTCGCTACACGACGACGACACTCGGAGGACAGCTGTGACATAGAGAAACGCGCGGGAGAAATGGCGCAGAAATCCAGCACCAGGCAGCGCGTCTCAGAGCGCTCACGTACATTTTCTTCCAGCCCATTCTCTCCTGATAGGATGTTTCTTAGACCCCAGAACCCGCACCGAGTCCGAAGTGTCATGAAAGGTTTCTTTTCCTTTGACGAAGTGTGACACACCCACAAGAAGTTCACGCGTTCTCACTAAGCCCTCTATTGCTTCCAGTAATTTCTTAACAGCTTTTCCTCCTTGGGTATCTGGGTGCTGCAGAGGTGCCCGCGCAGACCCACGCCGGCCCCGCGGGAAGCTCCTATTTCCCACGAAGAAATGGTGTCCGCGATAAGGCGAGGGGTGCCAGCGCGACACCCGACCGGCCGGGCCTCCTCCCTCAGGGACGCAGGGGGCCTTGGGCGTCACATTTCAGGCCAACGATGTCGATGTCGAGGCTTCTGGTTTAACTTTCTGCTCTCCCCCCCGGCCTTCCTGCTTCTGCCCAGCCCCGAGCCTTCCGAGGGGTCCTGGTGCCTCCAGGAACAGCCTCCTTGGGGCAGCTGCACTTTCTGTGCGGTCCCTGAGCCCCTCGGTCCAGTGAGCTTCGTTTGGGTTTTTCTGGCTGTTTTGGGAAATTTGTAGGATCTCGAGTTCAGCTGGAGCCACACTCAGGAACCCCATACCTTGGCCATTAACTGGTGTTGAGAGCCCCAGATGTGAAGGGGCTTCGTGAACTTTGGAGTCATGACATCAGCGTGCTGCTCTTGGCGCTGGCCCTCCAGCAGGGCTGTGTCTGTCTGGGTTCTGAGGGTCTCTGCTGTCTCTGGGCCTCGGGGCTTTGGCTCCTCAGGCAGGCAGCTGTAACCCCTCTAGGTCTAGAGACACAGGCTGGGTCACTGCCTGGGGTCCTGCCCTGGGACAGAGCTGGCGCTGGGTGGGGAAGTGGCCTCAGCAACCCACTGCCTGTCCCACCCGGCCCAGGGTCAGTGTCTGTGGCAGAGGCAGCCGGCGTGGCTGAGGACCCGGAGTGCCTGGCGTGGCCCTGTGCCCCGGAGCCCTACCTGGGGTGGCTCTGCACCTCCTCAGCCTCCACCTCAGGGGGCCTGGCCTCCTGCCCCAGGGCTGGGCACCTCGAAAGTCCATAGAGCATCGCTGCGCTCCCCACCCGGGGCCCTCACGGCCTCCCTGGGCCTGAGGGGCCACTACATGCTGGGCAGGTCCTCCATGGACGTCCCAAGGGTCACCCTCCCCTGGGCAAGGCTCTGTCCTGTGGCCAGAAGGCTCAGCACCAGCGCTGCTCTGAGCCCTTCCTGGGGATGGCGGCCCCAGAGCTGCAGGGGGAGTGGCCCAGGGAGAGGGCCCTGCAGCTGTGGCTGGGGTCAGGCAGGGTCTGCTGTGCCAGGTCGGACCCTGAGCCTCCCTGGCGTCCAGCTTGGCTCCCACCTGGGCTCTGCTCTTGCTGATGGTTTTAACTGATTGGGGGGTGGGTTCCTTGCCCCACGGGCTTGGCAGCGGGCAGGGTCTGAGTGCCAGGAGGGCAGCAGTGCTTCCCACAGCCTCTCTCGGCCCTGCTGTGTCCTCAGCTGGACACACACTCAGCTGCAGGGCAGGTGGCTCTGAGGGGCTCCAAGGAGGGCCTGCCCATCTCTGAGTTCTGGGCACATCCTGAGCCTGCCATGGCATATTCAGTGTGTGTCCTGTCCTGTCCCCCAGGCCAGCCGGGGAGGCTGGGGCCCTGTGAGAAGCAGAATGACGCCTTTCCACTCTCCTTCCTCCCACAGCGACATGGCCGACAGCAAGGCCAAACCCGCCAAAGCGGCCAACAGGACGCCGCCTAAGTCCCCGGGTGACCCTGCCAGGGACAGGGCAGCCAAGAGGCTGTCACTGGATTCAGAAGGTGCCAGCGAGGGGGCGGCTGCCACGGGCCCCGAGCTCAGCGCCCTGGAGGAGGCCTTCCGGCGCTTTGCCGTGCACGGGGACACGCGGGCCACGGGGAAGGAGATGCACGGCAAGAACTGGTCGAAGCTGTGCAAGGACTGCCAGGTGATCGACGGGAAGAACGTGACCGTCACCGACGTGGACATCGTCTTCAGCAAGATCAAGTAAGTGCCACACGGGCTTCCTCCAGGCCAGGCGGCTTCTTTTCCAGGGCCCAGGGTCCACGCTCGGGGAGGGACGGTCGTGCAGACGTCCCGAGATGTCTGCGGGTCCAAATCTGGGGGCAGATTCTGTGCTCTGACAGGCAGTGAGGGCACGTGACGTGGTTGTACTTCGAGACACCTGCCCTTCTTGGAATACAGTGCCCAGGGATCACCTCACCGTGTGTGGGGCAGGTCCTGGGGAGAACGTGGTTCCTAGAGCGTCTCTGGACTCCTTGATGCCACGTCCTGGGTCCTGGCCCCCACCTTGGGCACCTCCTGGTGCCTGCAATGGGGTGTCTGGGCTTGGAGCAGATTGGGGTGAACTCTGCTCCCCCTGTCAAAAGCTGTCACTGGACGTCACGAGCCTCTCGTGAACAAGGACAGTGCCAGCACGTGGCTGGGGGCAGGTGGCTCCAGTGGGCAGAGGGGGCTGAGTCTGCGAGCAGGTGTCTGTGGCTTCAGGCTGTGGAGGCCTGTCCCTCCGTGTGGCCAGGAGCTCACCCAGCCCCTCTGCCTCCAGCCCCTCCGCACCTCCTCTCTCCACTTCTGACTTGGGGAAGTTTCACATATGTAGAAAAGTTGAAAAATAGAACCAAAAGCACCAAAGAGGTGGCAGCAAACCACCACCTGTAGATTCAGCACTTGTGTCATTGTGCCATTTGCTCCATCTGTGTGCACCTGTGTGCATGGTCCTGTGCTGTGTGCACACGTGTTCCTGTGATGTGTGCACGTGTGCATGTTCCCATGCTGTGCATACACATGTGTGCATGGTCCTGTGCTGTGTGCATGTTCTTGTGCTATATATGTAGATGTGTGCATGTTCTTGTGCTGTGCATACACACATGTGCATGTTCCTGTGTCATGCACGTGCACATATTTTCTCCTGGACATTGGAACATGTGTTGAGGTACCCTCAGACCCCCCTTCACATCCTGCCATGCATCCTTGAAGCACGAGGACATTCTCCCGCCCACCACGACCCTGTGATCGCATGTGTGAAAAGCAGCAGTTTTCTCCATGGGTGCCACCGCCCAGCCTGGTCCGTGTCAGCTGTTGTGGACACAGCTGTTTCAGGTTGCTGCTGGCTGTGTCCACTTGTGGTCAGTGCTTTGTGTTTAGTTGTCTGTCACCTTAACTTCATGGTCTCTTTCCTGTCCAGTCCCTTGCCTTTCCTGTGCTGTGTGTGCATGTGTGTGCAGACGTGTGCGTGTTCCCGTGCCTTGGCTTTTCCAGGGTCTGGGCCATCGGCCAGACGTCCCGGTCCTCTGGCCCTGTTTTCTGTCACCACTGTGCCCTCTGGGAATGCGGTAGTGTGTTCTGGCTGTGCTGAGGTCCCCCACTGACCTGAGGGGCAGCTGTCACTGCTGCCACCACAGAGCTGTGGGCCAGCCGGCTCCTGGGGAGACCTCAGCTTCCTGGGGACAGCGCTCGTTCCCTCAGAGCTGGGGGCACGGACGGCCGGGCGGGGGAGGGTGGAGGCCCCCAGGAGCCTCCCCAGAAAGGGCCCAGTGTCAGGGGCTGCAGACAGGCGCTGGCCAGGGTGGGGCGGGAGGAGGTGGGGCTGGCCAGAGCCTGGCATGGGCGGCCCACGCCGAGGCGGCAGGACTCGGGCGCTGGCAGGCTCCCTGCTCCAGCCTGAGCCAGGCCCTTCTCGTGGCCCCGGGTTGGAGGGGGCAGGGCAGGGGGTCGTGGCCCTGGGGAAAGGGTTCCCCGAGACCCACTGTCCCTGCCCACCCCACCGCAGATGCCGACCCTGTGCCTGTGGGAGCACGGGTCTCGCAGAAGGGCGGGCGGGCAGCTCCGCTCTGCTTCCTCGACAAGCTGCACGCTGTGTGTGGGACGTCGGCGCTTGCAGAGCCCTGCTGGTGGCCTCCCGCTCGCCAGCCCACTGCCTGCCTGTCGGGCTCCCCTGACTCTCAGGTCTCGTGGGCAGTCTGGGCCAGAATGTCCCACTCATCTGTCACCTCGTGGCTCCCCCTCGGCCTCCCAGGCCCTGACAGGAGGTGGCGTGGACACGTTGGCTCCACCCCCAGGGTGAGCAGGCCTCATCTCTGTCCTGTCCAGACTGGCCCACCCTGACCCAGGACCACCGCTCCTTTGTCCCTGAGCCCGCCTGGACCCCGACTGCCACCCTGGCCAGGGCCCAGCCTCCTCCAGCGCCGGCCCTCTCTGGGAGGCTGTGGCCCAGCTCTGTGCTGCTCAGCTGTGGAGGCCTGACCCGAGTCCCCCCTTGGAGCATGGTCCCCAGAGTGTCACCGAGTTCTGTTTCTGCCACTTGAGGGATGTGGGAGTAGAGGGGCCAGACCCTGAGAGGTATGGCCTTGGGTTGGGGGGACATCTCCAGACAAGGGATGCCACCACCAGGCATGGAAGGTGCTGGCACGTTCCAGAACAGTGTCCATTGGAGAGGGGGCTGTTTTGATTCTTACCCCTGCGTCTCCACACTGGGGATCTGCAGCACCTTGTGGGACCAGGGCTCACGCAGCGAGTGTGTCCGCCGGCTGCAGCTCCTTTGTGATCAGACCTGCGGGTCTCAGCGCCTGTTCCCTGCCCCCTGGGGTCGGCCAGGGGAGGCTCCCAAGGGGTCTCAGGACAGACCAGCCTTGCCACCCTGCCAGGAGACGAGCAGTGCCCTGTGGCAACAGCCCTGCAGTGTGGCTGTGAGTGGACAGTGCCGACAACAGGCGGGTCCTGGTGACCACAGGCGCTCCCGCGGGTCAGCCAGCTGCGGGCAAGGGGCGCTGACCTGGCTGTGCCCAAACACCCGGGAACTCACTCTGCCGAGCGGATGCATCTGGCACACCGACTCGGGGGCAGGGGAGGCAGGACAGCTGTGCTCGGCGCGTGGCGGCCGGGAGAGCAGAGGAGGTCGCGGAGCTCTGCACCCACGTGTCCGGGGCCAGGGTGCACAGCTGGGCAGGTCGGGCGCGGCCCCTGGGCCATGTGGCCCCGGCCCCAGCACTCCAGGCGTCCTGGCTTAGGGCGGGGGGCTGGCCCTTTGCTGACCCAACCCTCTTGGCAGGTCGTGGGTGCTTCCCAGGTGGGCCCAGCATGGTCGTGGGTACTTCCCAGGTGGGCCCAGCATGGTCGTGGGTGCTTCCCAGGTGGGCCCAGCATGGTCGTGGGTGCTTCCCAGGTGGGCCCAGCATGGTCGTGGGTGCTTCCCAGGTGGGCCGAGCATGGCCGTGCTGCTCCAGTCCTGGGCACCCTCCGAGCCGTCCAGTGCTGGCCTCCACAAACCCGGTGTGTCCAGGGGTAGAGGGGCCCTCAGACCTATGCCTGTGGGTGAAGTTTCTAGAAGGGCTAGGCTGGAGATGGGAAGAAGTGGCCTGCCCAGTGGCCAGTCACCCCACAGGGGGACCCCATGGTCCACAGCCGTGGCATGGTCCAGACACTGCCGCTTGCAGTCAGGGCCACAGTTCTTTTTGCAAATGCAGCAAGTTGCCTTCAAGCTACAGCAATGGCACACGTGTACATGCACACATGCCTGCATATGTGTGGGGGGAGGGTGTCCAGCTGGGCAGCACGAGTCCCGACTCCCCTCCCTGTCCACCTGCACAGGAGAACCCTCACAGCCCAGCCCCCATGCTGGGACTGCCCTCCCTCCTGGGGCTTGGACTCAGGCCCCGGGGAGCCCAAGGAGAGGGCGGTGGGGTCCCCTGACCTCCCACATATGCGGGAGCAAGGGACTCAAACTCATACCCTCATCCCAGGAAGAGAGGTGGATGGTGCCCAGGCAGGGTTGGGGGCTGGTGACCCCAGGAGCATCATGAGGGGACGGTGCCCCAGCAAGGTCGGGGACCCTGCAGAAAGCACTGGAGTGCTGGGGGCCCAGGGGACAATCGGGATTTCCCTGTTTCCCAGGACAGCCAGGTGCGCTGACAGCAGAGGTTGGGTGACACTGTGCACTGTGAGGAGTGGGACGTCCACGGCCAGCCACGCAGGGGTGCCCGGCAGCTGCAGGAGGGCCCCACCCCCAGGGTGCAGAGCCGCCTGGGTACTCTGGCGGGACTCAGTAAAGAAAAAGCCCAACTATTTCTGTTTTCGGGGCAGGTTGCCATGGCTCTGTGGGCCCGGTGCCAGCCGGGGTATCTGTGGCCTCTGTTTAGCCCTTGTCGCCACGGCAGCGCTTGTTTGTTTGGATGTTACTATGTGTTAAATCTTAAACAAATTTCTTGCAGCCATAGCTCAGGTTTTTATTGACGACTACTGCTGGCCCAGGCGGAGACACCCCTGCAGAGCCCGTGCAGTGGGGTTTTAAGACACTCACTAATCCAGACTGGACGTGTGCAGGCCCTGGGGCATGGGGTCCCCAGGGGCGTGGACAGCAAGTCCGTGTGTGCACGGGGAGGGGTACGTCACGCCTCAGGGACCCTGGGTCAGGCTGTGCCTACCTATGTCCACTCCTCACTCTGCCTGGACCGAATGTCCCCAGACCTCGCCCAGGGAGCCCTCGGGGACCCTCCGCACAGGAAGCCCAGCCGGGGCAGAGGAAGGAGGCCGGGATGGGTCTCTGCTCCCGGGGGCCGCGGCCTCCCTGGGCTCCAACTTGTCTGCGGGCACCATGTTCTCCCACGTGGGCGAGCCAACGCGTCCTGCCAACACCGTGCAGGGTCCAGGCAGGGGCGCAGCTTGGGTGACACAGGCAGGGCCTGGACACAGGTTAGGAGTAAGAAAGGCAGCGGCCAGCCCCAAGGAGGGCAGGGCCTGGGGCACCCTGGGGTCTGGCGGGTCACCAAGTGCAGGGGGGAGCAGCTTACCTGCTGCCACCTGCCAGGGACGGCAGGGCCCAGTGGGGCTCATCCTGAAGTCTGCAGACGGCTCTTCTCAAAAGCCACTCTAGGGCCACGTCTCGGGGTCTGTGGGAAGGGCAGGGCGTGGGCAGAACTCTATGTGTGGCCTCACGCTGGGCAGCGTCTGCACCCCCAGGTGCTGGCCTTGCCTGCCCTGTGGTCCTGTGAGGGCCCATGTCTCACCCGGCGGCCTTGGCCGGAGCCTGGGCCAGGCGTGTCCCTGTGGCGCCCTCTGGTGGCCGCTGGCGGCAGGGCAGGCAACCACAGCTTCTGCAGAGTGGAGGCCCGTGGGCGCGATGGGCTGCGCAGGCAGGCGTCTGTGGCAAGCATCAGCGGGCTGGTGGCTCTGTGGCCTTGCAGTTAAGGCTCCTGGGAGTCTGTGACGGCTCGTTGGGGCAGGATTGGCCATTCTCCGTGGCGTTGGCCGGCGACAGGCCCCGCTCCCCGGTGGCTCGGCCCGTCCACTCCGCCTCGGGAGCCTGGCCAGAGAGTGCACCAGGTCATGTAAGAGGACGACCTTCCACAAACAGCCAGAATCTGTCTGGACGACCTTAGGCATCAGCCCACAGCCCACCCCAGGCCACGGCAGCAGCTGGGCACAGAGGCCGGGCCCTGACGCACCCGCACGGGGCCCCTCTGGCCCCGAGTCCAGGTCCTGGTGACGGCCACAGGCGAGTGACCACACAAAGGCACTAGGCAACGTGAAGTTAGGAGGAGCCGTAAGGGCGGGCTTGTTTCCCACTCGGAGGGAGGTAACTGGGTGTTGTGGGCAGAGGCCATGGAAGGTGGAGCCGGGGCAGCCAGTGGGTGTGCCTGGGCGCCCAGAGCAGGAGGAAGGGTTGCTGGCTTCCCCGTAGGCCCCGGAGCTGAGCGGCCTGTTCAGTGGGTGTTTCCAGCCACCAGCTGAGCCCACACGGGGGTCCAGGAAGGGGCTCTGGTCTCCTGCGATGCGGGGTGAAGCCCTCACAGGTGGCCCATGTCAGGCCCGTCCAGGCCGTGTGGGCGGAGGCTGCCTCCCCGCTCCCCGAGGGGTTTCCGAGCTGGCCAGGAACTGGAAGGGCCCGGGGGGCAGTGGCTGCTCTGGGTTCTCAGCCTGGGCGTCTGGTCCTGCTGGGGTCTGGGGACGCAGGGCGGTCAGCATGCACAGGCCAGCCCCGGCAGGAGGAGGCTGGAGTGCGAGAGTGACGGGAACCACCGCAGCCTCCTCGAGCGCAGGGACAGGTCGGAGCTGCTGGTCCGAGGCGAGTGGCTAGCCTGGGGCCGCCCGAGGCCCAGTAGAGATGTGCGCACTCCCGTGCCGCGTCCACGCGAGCCCGCCAGACAGGCTCCCCCAGTCCACGTCTCCACCAGGCAGGAGCCTCCCCGCCATCCCCGTCGGCCTCAGCCCACGGCTGAAGGGAACATCCTGGAGGTTTGTGCCCCGGTGCCCCTCATGCTCTGACTCTCAGCACGGGGGCAGCTGCTTGCCCCTTAGTCGCCCTCGACGGTCCCCTGCTTTCTGCCCGCAGTGGCATCTGGACGGGCCAGTCGGGTCCACACTTCTGCAGGTCCTGGGAGCCCGAGCAGCAAGTGCCATCACAGAGCTGCGGATGGAGAGGGCAGGGGCTCTGCCTCAGCCCAGAGCTCAGGGAAGCTTTGGTGGCCTCGGCCCTGGAGGCACAGGCCGGTCCTCAGTGCTGTGCTGGCCCCACACCGGCTCCTGGACAGCCCTGGCCAGGCCCCAGTGTCCCCAAGAGACCGAGCTGGGGCCCCTGCTGGCCCTGGGTTTGGCCCAGAGACCTGGAGAAGACTGGGCCTGGGAAGCAAGCCCTTCCCCTGGGCACTGTGTGTGAGCAGTGGCCACGTCTGCCGGGCTGGGTTTGGGGAGAACCGCATCTTCTGAGCAGCGTGTGCTCCAAGGACACCTCCTGCCCTGATGGGCTCTGGGAACAGGCTAGCTCGAGCAGGACTGAGTGTCTCGGGGAAGAGACAGGCATTGTCTTCCCAGCACTCGCTGGGGACTGCTCTGGCAGAAGGCGCCTGGCTCTCCTAGGGAGAGCTCCTGCGGGCTCAGGGCAGAGACGGGGGCCCCTCTTCCCAAGATCACAGGGATGCTTGGGGACATGGGCGTGGCCAGTGGCTCTTGGCACAGGCATCCACCCCAATCTGAATGTGGTCTCTGATAGGGGAGCCCCTCAGCCACCCCCTCCCCAGACTGAGGGGCTGGCACTGGTGGTGCCTGGAGCTGAGGCCGCCCAGAGGGGCCGCGTGCCCAGCGCTGGTCACCAGGCTGGTGGTCAGGCCTGGCGTCCGCATGTCAGCCTGGGCAGGGCTGTGAATAGGAGACAGGGGCGCCTTTGACAGCACAGGACAGAGAGGCCCCACAGGGCCTTAGAGTCAACACAGCCGGCAGGCCCAGAGGGAGGAAAGGGGGGCTTTATGCTGTCCGTGGCAGGCACCGCTGGGGGGAGGCCCTGGCAGGCATCCAGCTGAGAGCTTGCAGGGGCGAGAAGCCACTGCCCACACGCTGCACGTCCCCAGTCCCCCAGCCCCTCCTGGGTGGATGCTGCGGGACACCTGCCCATACGTGGGAAAGCTCGACAACGTGCCGTGGGGCTCTGGCCCCAGCAACCCCCGCCAGCTCGGCTCTGCCCCAGACCGGGTGTTTGGTTGGAACGTCCCGCATCTTCTGGACACATGTAAAGTGCGTGTGGATCCTCTAGGTGCCGCGTAAAACAGCACTGACCTTGGGCTCTGGGAGCCACAGGGGGGCGGCGTTTTCATATCTGGCTCCAGCCACAGAGCCTGGCCATGGAGCCCACTGTGTCCTCTCTCGCTGGCTCCTTCTCGAGTTGCTGAGTGTTGTCCACGGTGTGCACACGTCGCAGTGTGTTCATCTGGTCACTGCTGAGGGACACTCGGGTTGTTATGTTTTGGTGACTGAGTAAAACTGTGATAAAATCCCCTATGAGTTCATGTGTGAGCTTATGTTTCCATGTCCCTTGAGTGGGACCCAGGGATGGGACTGTGCAGGCGGCAGGTGTCTGCCTTGTAAGACACCGTGCGAGATGCCAGCTGGGAAGGAGCCTCCAGCCACTGCAGCCACCCAGCCGGGGGCCTGTCCTTTTCCTTATTTTCATGGCTGCAGCCATCCCTGTGGGTGTGCAGTGGCTCCTTGCTGTGGTTTCGTCTGCATCTCTGATGGTGCTCGGCGTCCCTCCGTGTGTTGTTTGCCGTCTGTATATCTTCCTTGGTGACGTCTCTGGCTCACATATTTTGCCCATGTTTTTACAGTGGGTTTTTTCTTATTGTTGAGTTTTCAGAGTTCTCTGTACATTTCAGCTACGAGTCCTTCGTTGGGTGTGTGTTCTGCAAATATTTTCTCCCAGCTGGTGGCTTGTCTTTTCATTCCCTCAACAGTGTCTTCTGAAAGGCAGTTGTCAACATGTGGATGAAGTCCAGTTCATCCATTTTTTTCATTACGGACTGTGTTTGGGTGTCATTTCTAAGAAATCTTTGCCTTACCCAAGTTCACAAAGTTTTGCTTTTTCATGTCCTTGAAGTTTGTTTTAGGTTTAATAATTAGGACTGTGATCTATTTTGAGTTAATCTGGTATATGCTACCCGGTGTAGATAAAAGGGCAATTTTTGCATATGGGTCACTGATTGTTCTACCTCCGTTTGTTGAAAAGAATCCTTTCTCCCCTGCTTGCCTCCTTGGAAAGCGGTGGGCTGCGTGTGTGCACGTGTGTGTGCGAGTGCACACGTTTGTGCATGCACACGTGTGTTCGTGTAGGGCTCTCCCTGAACCCACCGGAGAGTGCTGTTGATCCACAGCGGTCTGTCCTCTTGCCAGAAATGTGCTGTCTTGTCACCCCAGCTTTGCTGTGCAACCAGAGGTGTGTCAGCCTCCAACTTTGTTCTGGTTTCCACAATTGTTTGCCTTTTCTAGAGCATCTGCTCAGTGACATGGACAGAACCCGCTGGGGTTCCGTGGGGTCAGGCCTCTCTGCAGTCGTGGACTGCGGCTGGAAGGGCCTGGGAGGGGCCTTGCTCATAGCTGCTCCTCCAGGACCCACAGTGAGGTCGTTTTAAACGTTGCAAAGCCTCACTAATTCGGATTAGTTGTGGTAGATCACGTAGGAAAAGGTTTTCTAATTAAAATTATAAAAGGCAAAGAGCCAGTTTAGAACTTCTTTGCAGTTGCCCAAGTGAGGGTCTGATGAATGTGCTGTGGGGTGAAGCACAGCCCTGGGTGCCCCAGCCCCCCGACAGGCTCTAACCCCAGCCCCCCCACCCGGCTCTAACCCCAGCACCCCCAGGCTCTGCCCCAGCCACCCAGGCTCTAACCCTAGCACCCCCCCACAGGCTCTAACCCCAGTATCCTCAGGCTCTGTCCCAGCCACCCCAGGCTCTAACCCCAGCACCCCCAGGCTCTGCCCCAGGCACTCAAAGGCAATGGCTGGTCAGGTTGGGGGCTCAGGTCCTGACATGTGGGTCCTGCGCCCACCCTGCCAGGCGCCCTGGGGGGCCCCAGCGCCGGCCCCCTGTGAGGACCCCACGCCCCACCCACGCCCCTCCCTGTGGGGCTGCGGCCCAGGCCCCTCCCTCAGACGCAGGGCCCTACGGGGAGGTGGGGCTTCCTCCCAGACCGGGCGGGGTGTCGCTCGGGGCCCCACCCGGCCCCGCCTTAAGCCGCCGCCCCCGCAGGGGGAAGTCCTGCCGGACCATCACCTTCGAGCAGTTCCAGGAGGCGCTGGAGGAGCTCGCCAGGAAGCGGTTCAAAGACAAGAGCGCAGAGGAGGCGGTCCGCGAGGTGCACCGGCTCGTGGAGGGCAAGGCGCCGGTCATCTCGGGGGTCACGGTAAGGGGCGGGCCTGGTGGGCCAGGGCGGGGCCTGGAGGGAGGGGCGGGGCCTGCAGGGAGGGGCGGGGCCTGAGGAGAGAGGTGGACCAGCGACCTGACAGCCCGGGTCCTTGGGAGGGGGCCGGTGTGGGTTTCCCGAGAGGGTGGACAACTGCAAGAAGACCAGGTGGACTTGGAGAAGGGGCAGGGTCATGGCCCTGCAGACCCTGGGCTGCCCCGGGCCAGGAGAGGCCATCCCGCCTCTGTCTGCAGCTTGGCCCGAGTGGTTCTGCGCCGTGTCCGCCAGGAAACCTGTCCTCTGAGAGACCTGCCCAGGTCGGGCCCAGCCTTCACCTGGTCTCACCTGGCCGGCAGCTCACCTCTTCCTTCCCACCCCTCTCCTCTTGCAGAAGGCCATCTCTTCGCCCACTGTGTCTCGGCTCACCGACACGACCAAGTTCACAGGCTCCCACAAGGAGCGCTTCGACTCCTCCGGCAAGGGCAAGGGCAAGGCCGGCCGGGTGGACCTGGTGGACGAGTCGGGCTATGTGCCCGGCTACAAGCACGCGGGCACCTACGACCAGAAGGTGCATGGGGGCAAGTAGCTCCGTGGATCTGTGCCCCGAGACGCTGCAGGTGTCTGGGAACAGGAACTGTACCCTATCACTTCATTACATTCCTGTGGACATTCCTGTGCTCACTTGGGCAGAACTCAGAGGGCGCCTTGTTGGGGGCTGGGGCAGCTGTGGGGGCCACACCCAGGCCTCCCTCCTGCTGGGCACCCAACACTCCCTCTCAGACCCCAGGTTTGGGCCCTGACTCTCCCTATCACGCCTGCCTCGGCCTGAGCTGGAGAGTGGACGGCCGCTTCCAAGTGTCTCCTGGGATCACACCACACTGGCAACCTAGTTGGCAGGGGAAAGGGGTGTTTTAAAGGAGCTGGTCATCGTGGGGCTCTGGGAAACAGACCCTGTAGGAGGCCACGCCGACCTCCTGACTGGAAGACACTTTCCAGGGGCCTTGAGGGCTACAGTAGCTAAGGCACTAACCAACAGCACAAATAAAGCCGATCGAGCGAGCTCCAGACTCCTGCTGTGGGCCCTGAGGCCTGTCCTGTGGCAGACACCACAGGGTCCTCTGGGCCCTCCTTAGAGGCCAGGCGTGGGGAGGCAGGTCCCACAAGCACACACACATGCTTGCACATGCTCATGTACACATGTCCTACACACACACACTCACACACACAGTTGAGGTGACAAGAAGGCTGAGGGACACAACAGGCAGCTTCCTGGCTGACCAGAGTGACCTGGAGCATGAAGTTAGCTGTCTTTCGGTTGCTTTCCTGAGATGGTGGCTGCACGTCTGTTCTCAGAGTGGGTCCAGGAAGATGCAGGATGTCCTGTCCCCACGTTGCCAGGCAGGAGCCTCACCAGTACGTGACAGGCATGTCTGCCCGGCCTCCCGCTTGTCCATTCATACTGCCACCCATTTGGCTCCCAAACCTCCTGTCAGCCACAGCTGATGCAGTTTCAACTCTCTCTAAATGGCCCTACTAGCCTCTCCTGACCCTTTGGAGTGCAGGACGCCAAACGGGCCTGCAGCACTGGCCGAGGCTTTGTCCTCCCCCATCGTGGAGTGCACAGGAGTCAGCGGGCACAGCCTGCCCAGGACCCCCACACGTCTACACTGTGAGCACGTGGCAGGGCAGCCTGTCCTTGCACATGTCTGCACAAGAACCCTGTGCTGCTGCTCTGTCCTGGGGATGCCAGTCAGTGTGGCCATTTGCTGTCACGTTGGCCTCCATGGTCATCTGTCCCTTGGCATGAACATCCATCACCTTGAGTGTAACCTGCTGGGCCATGTGGTTCTGGAGCTGGTCCTGGAAAGAGCCCAAGGCAGCCCCAGGGAAATGCTCCCAGGAGCTTGTCTGCCCTTGGCTCCATCCAGCTCTATGCAGGGCAGATGGCCGTCCAGGGCTGGGCTTATGGTGCAGGTGGACAGCAGGCCCCTCCCTCACTGCCACAGGACACAGACATGCCACCTACCTGCCCTGAGCGCTGAGAATACCTGGTCACAGGAGCAGCCCACCCACCCATGTGGGGCGGAGCCTCAGGGCTCCCTGCTGAACGATCACCTGAAGGTCTGGGCTTCTCAGGCCCCTCAAAGGGAGACCTCAACTCAAGGATGGGGTGGCCCAATGGGAACCTTCCTTCTGAGGTTCTGAAGCTCACAGTGCCTGGTGTTGAAGACCAAGGAACAGTGGCTCTCAGGCTGCAAGATTCCCTTGTAGGGCCCAGCCGAGCCCCATCTCCTGGCTATGCCCAACTGGCCCTTGTGTGAAACCTACAGGCAAATGTAAGATGTGAGAAATGTCTGAAAATAACTGTGAGTGTACAGTGTTTAATAACCTTATCACAACCCAAAAAGCCCTTGTGTTCAAGATGCTGATGACTTTCATTAGGGTCGATGAACAGGCTGCTGTCCAGGTCGAGCAGCTTAGGACCTGGAAAGACACTGGCACCCCACACCCTCTTGGGCTCCTGTCCCCTCCAGACTCCCTGGTCAGAGTGCAGCACCACCATGGGCTGGCTGTCCCTTGGTCTGAGGCTGCTTTTCTCTCGTTCTTCTGCCTGTCAACAACCAGTCTCCACAGTCCCGGCCAAGTCACATGGAACAGACATGACACCAGCAGGACCCTGGCCCTGGAGCTGAGCACGCCCAGCCAAGGCAGAGGGACAGGCCAGAGTGGTGTCTGAGGGTTCTCAGGCTGCACAGTAGGAGCCAACGCTCTCCTGGACCCCACAGTGGTCTGTGGGGACATGAGACACTGAAGAGAGAGGTGCCAGAGCACCAGGACGCTGTCTCCTGTTCAGCAGTCGTCCTCAGACTAGAATGGCCTCCAAACAAAGGTCCAAACCAAGTCAGGGCTGGCCTGCCCTCACAGCATACTAGGAAATTGGATACAAGCAAAAGAAACAATATAAGTGCCCATCCTCAGGGGACTACAGACCACCCAACCTCACAGACAGGAGGCCTCTTCCACAGACAGGTCACCTCGTCTACACAGTCGGCATCTCACTCGCCACAGCGCACTCCCCAGAACTGGACAGAGCAGCCCAGAGGGGTGAGGTCCACGGGTCCCGCCTGCGGAGTGCCAGCACCACCTGCCTCAGGCCCCTGGAGCTCCATGATAAGAAATGCTCCTTTCACCTCTAATGAAAATTTTAGAATGCATTCCTGATTGCTGCAGCAAATCTTTGGGTTTTGTGAATGAAAACTGAGTGCACTTTTTCTCTGCCTTGGTGGCCTTCCCTGTCCCAGCCTGGAGGGCCCTTGGGCTCCAGAGGAGAGGCCTCACACCTGACTCTCCCTCAACATGCTCTCGGCTGTGGCGCCTGGAACACAGCACCAAGAAGCCAATTAGCAGTCTCCAGTGTGACCCCTGCCCATCCCCCATGGGCCCCAAGGTTTCCCCAGACACTCGTGAGCCAGGAAAGCATCCTTCTCCAGTCGGTTTCCAAGTGTAGATCTGCAAACACACTCTCCCCTCCCATCTACACCACCTAGCAAGGAAGGGGGAGTAAAACTCAAGTCATGAGGACATGGTAGTCACCATTCTGTCAGTTTAAAATTGTCTGTTGAATTTGTCATTGCATCTGTGTGTAGCCTTTGAACACAGAACATCTGCCTGGACCCTAAATTCACTGGACAAAACAGATACATGAATTTTCCTCAGTCAGTTTCTGAATATTGTGAATACACAGGCAGGGTGTTTGTCTTTTTTGCATGTTTTTATGCAATGCCAATTAGCTTCTACTAACCATGGTTAAATAGAAATTAAATGTCTATCTGTGAATACAAGAAACTGCACAGCATGCAACCCAGGAGACAGAGATGGGTTCTGTCAGGGGTGACACCCAGGATACAGGGACAGGTTCTGTCAGGCCTGACACCCAGGTGATAGGGACAGGTTCTGTCAGGGGTGATACCCAGGAGACAGGGGCAGGTTTTGACAGGGGAATAATATTAGGAAACAGGGACAGGTTCTGTCAGGGGAATAACATTAGGAGACAGAGACAGGTTCTGTCAGGGAAGGACATTAGGAGACAGGGACAGGTTCTGTCAGGGGAGGACATTAGGAGACAGGGACAGATTCTGTCAGGGTGACACCCAGGAGACAGGGACAGGTTCTGTCAGGGGAGGACATTAGGAGACAGGGACAGGTTCTGTCAGGGGAGGACATTAGGAGACAGGGACAGGTTCTGTCAGGGGAGGACAATAGGAGACAGGGACAGGTTCTGTTAGGGGAGGACATTAGGAGACAGGGACAGGTTCTGTAAGGGGTGACACCCAGGAGACAGGGACAGGTTCTGTCAGGGGAGGACATTAGGAGACAGGGACACGTTCTGTCAGGGGAGGACATTAGGAGACAGGGACAAGTTCTGTCATTGGTGACCCCCAGGAGAGAGGGACAGGTTCTGTCAAGGGAGGACATTAGGAGACATGGACAGAGGTTCTGTCAGGGTGACACCCAGGATACAGGGACAGGTTCTGTCAGGGGAATAACATTAGGAAACAGGGACAGGTTCTGTCAGGGGAATAACACTAGGAGACAGGGACAGGTTCTGTCAGGGGAATAACATTAGGAGACAGGGACAGGTTTTGTAAGGGGTGACACCCAGGAGACAGGGACAGGTTCTGTAAGGGGTGACACCCAGGAGACAGGGACAGGTTCTGTCAAGGGAGGACATTAGGAGACAGGGACAGGTTCTGTCAGGGGAGGACAATAGGAGACAGGGACAGGTTCTGTTAGGGGAGGACATTAGGAGACAGGGACAGGTTCTGTAAGGGGTGACACCCAGGAGACAGGGACAGGTTCTGTCAGGGGAGGACATTAGGAGACAGGGACAGGTTTTGTCAGGGGAGGACATTAGGAGACAGGGACAGGTTCTATAAGGGGTGACACCAGGAGACAGGGACAGGTTCTGTCAGGGGTGACACCCAGGAGACAGGGGCAGGTTCTGTCAGGGGAGGACAGTGTTAACAGTGTCTGAGCATCAGGAGAGAGAAGGGTAGGAGAGTGTCTGACAACACTGATCATACCAGAATACTTATTTATTTCTATTTAATGCTATAGGATAAACAACTAGCTAGTGGTCACAAATTAGCTTTACCAAAATCAAAGTTCAAATTATATGTTTAAAATATCATAGCAAAAAATTTATATTTATACTGGAGTATTTTTACACCTTTAATATCCTCAGTCTTAAGTTTGGGGGCAGGTGAAATTACAGCAGCGGCCAGTGAGTCGGGAAAAGGCCCCTGCAGGAGTTCCGCTTGTCTTGCGTCCTGTCCATGCCGCTCCACCTCCACACCTGGCGGGAACAGCTCAGGGCAGGCCACAGGCTCCCACTCCACCCCCACCCCACTGGCTGCTGCAGCCTCCCGTGTTGTGAATAGTGCACTGGCACACAGCAGCTCCTGTGTGTCTGCTTGTCTGTGGCTGCTGGGACGATACAACTGGAGTGGGGAGGAGTTTAGACAGATGCCTTGGCCCTGCACACCTAAGGGGAAAGTGCCTGCCCATCCAGTTCATTTGTTCCTGCAGGTGACTTTGCTGGGTACTCCATCCTGCAGCACACGCCACAGGGACATCCTGCTGTCACCTGTTCCATACAGCACAGGCTGACAATTTAGCTGTACTGTGAAGTTATCAATAGGCTAAAATGCCCTTCAAACACTGAACCTGAATAACTTTCCTCCACTTACTACTGAACACTTTGGCAACTCCGGTGGTTCAGGGGCATGGCCTTTCACCATGGGTATGTGATGGGGGATGCTTTAGTTAACTCTTTCTTTAGACCTCTTAATAAACTAAACCAAGCCAAACAACAAAGGAAGCCTACACAACTTAAAGGAAACTTGAAAGGGATAATGTATACTACTAGTTTGTACTAAGTATTTTTCAAGAAAGGGAAACAAATTTATATATATATATGCAATATATTTTTTCACTGTTATATTAATGTTAGGGAGTACTGAGCATATCACTTTATCAGTGTGATGGGTCATGTCCGTGTCATGGGTGTTCTGACACAGAAAGGCACTTCTGTTGACTAACCACACTCACCAGGAATGTCTGTGGGGTTGGGGCAGCCCTGCTGTTCCTCCTGCAGAGCTCAAAGTGTGGTGTCACCTGTTGGACTTGCTGTCAAGGCCTGGCTTGCAAACCTTTAGTGAAACAGCTAATGTCTGTCTGCATATTGCTCCTTGTGTTTGCTGTTGTTAACATTGTGTGTCAAATTGGTAAAGTGATTGAATAAAGGTGATAAAACATGCATTTCTGTTTTCCTCAAAGTGCGTGCTGTCTACTAGCAGTTACACCCTCTGGCTGGCTGGACCTTGACACACACACATGCGCACAACATGGGATACAACCTGGGAGAGGTAGCTGGAGGGAGTGTGCAGAGTACTGAAGCCCACAGGGCCAGGGCATCATGTCTCCTGCACCTGAGGGAGCCTTTTGCTTCCTGGCTTAGACGGGAGAACTTCTGACCAACCTGAGAAGAAGCAGGGGACCAGCCCTCTGTTGGCTTCCAGACCTGGTCTAGTTCTGGTTCAAGGGGAATGGACACAAACTGCACCAAAGATAGGATAACGGCACCAAAAGGCTGTCATAAATCAAATACCAACCTGAAGTACTAACCCAGTGGACTCATTTTCAAAATGAGGATAAATAAGGCATTTTTAGACAACAAAAGGAGAATCTGCCACCAGTAGACATCATAAAGAATTCTAAATTCAGAAAGAAAGTGATCACAGATGAACACTGGGGGATGAAGAAGTGAGGCAAAGAGAATAAATAGGTGTAAAAAACTCCAAATTGATGACCATATACATACTTTGTGAGAGTAAACGGTTTCCCTAAGATACCTGGAAACGACCACAGGCAAGGTGGCGGAGCACAGGGAGGTAAGTGTGCATAGGCTCAGGCAGGAAGGCAGGAAAGGCGCTGACAGGACAGACACTGGTGGAGAAGGGAGCAGCACACAGCTTCCACACCTCGGGGTGAGAACTCGGGAGGATAAAGAGATAATCTAAAATAGCAAGAGTAGAAAGGGAAAAAAATCATAGAATAGAACAGCACAAAATCAAATGGCAGATTCAAACTAAAATGTATCAACTATATTATCAGATACAGTGAGAGAGAGAAACACAGGACAGGAAAATTGATAAAATTACATTTTTAACTCAAATTTATTAGTAATTTCAGCATGGCTAAAAATAGAAAGGTAAGAGTAGAGATTGAAAATAAAATAAAATCGAGGCAAGGTTATTTTTGAAAGGACTGAAGAGAAGGTTCCAACAACCGACAGTAAGGAGGACAGAGGGTGAGCACTGGGTCCCGTGAGCAGACGCTGGCTGAGTGGCGTGAGCCTCATGGGGGCCTGTCGGCACAGAACGCCCATGGTGGCCCAGGGACAGGTGGGTGGTAGGGAAGCCTCCCGAGCATGATACAGAAAAGCAAAAGACAGAGCAACGATAATGTAAAGGAAAATCCAAAGTAAAATGAACAGGAAAGAAACCTGTTATTCTCAGAGATGTGATTATGTGCCCAGAAGTGCCAAACTAGCCACAGGTAAATTATTAAATTTATAAGATTGCTGGGATATAAAATAAACACAAAAAATGATCGAATTTCCATAAAATGGCAACAAATAATTAAAAAAATGAAATCCAAACACATTTTTTAAAAATTGCATCACAAAATAAGAACCTAGCCCTAAATATAACAAAAGATGCACGAGACCACTGTGGCAAAAGTATAAAGTTGTATGAACATACATTAAAGGACAACTAATAAAAGGAGACAGATGCCAATATTAATGTATGTCAACTCTTTTCACACTGATCTGCAGATCGAATGTAATCTCAAACGAAATCCCAACTTAAGGAGCTAGTTCCAAAGTGAAGTGTATGAAGCGCAGTGTGTCAGCAACGGCTGAGACACCCTGGACCTGAGGTGGGAGGACACATGGACCATGAGGGCAAAGGAGGCTCCTCAGTGGATGGGGCTTACACAGGCCAATGGGGAAACTGGAACCTTAACCTTCAAACATGCACAAATCAATTCTGGGTAGAATATATATCTAAAATCCAAAATAAACAAAAATATAAATTTTGTTGGAAGATAACACAGTAGAATATCTTCATGACCATGAAAAGGGAAAGATTTTTAAAATTAAAATCCAAACTGCTTTATTCATAAAGAAAAATCGTATACACTGGGCTATATTAAAGTTTAAAATTGCTCTTAATCAAAAGACACCATTAAAAATGTGAAAAGAGGCCAGGCGCGGTGGCTCACGCCTGTAATCCTAGCACTCTGGGAGGTCGAGGCCGACGGATTGCTCAAGATCAGGAGTTCGAAACCACCCTGAGCAAGAACGAGACCCCGTCTCTACTATAAATAGAAAGAAATTAATTGGCCAACTAATATATATATAGAAAAAATTAGCCGGGCATGGTGGCGCATGCCTGTAGTCCCAGCTACTCAGGAGGCTGAGGCAGGAGGATTGCTTGAGCCCAGGAGTTTGAGGTTGCTGTGAGCTAGGCTGACGCCATGGCACTCACTCTAGCCTGGGCAACAAAGTGAGACTCTGTCTCAAAAAAAAAAAAAATGTGAAAAGATAAGAAAAAGCTGTTTGCAAATGTCACCCACAAAGCACACTACTCAAATTTATCAATAACTCCTGCAAATAAATAAGAGACAGACTATCCAATAGGAAAATGGGTTAAAGAGTTGACAGGCACTTTACAAAAGGAAACACAGATGACACATGAACACAACACGTGACAGGCACTAACTGGCTCGGGGGCGGGGCAGGTGGAAGCCACGTGTTACCATCTCCTGCAACAAAGACGATGAAAACCTTGATGGTGAATGCTGAAACCATGGACTAACAAACATTCTCATACACAATGAGAGGCAGGGTTAGTTGGCACATCTACTTTGGAAAACAGTTTGGAATTATCTAGTAAAGCTATTAAAATATGGTTAAGGAATTAAAGGAAACATGAAAATAATGGAAAATAAAATCTTGAAAAGAACCAAATGGAATTTTATAACTAATATATAAAAATATATATAATTTATGATATTAAAAATTCACTATATAGGCATAATTCAAATTAGGCATGTGGAAGAAAAGATCAGTAAACTTTGCAACAGGGCAATAAAAAAATCCCAAGTGAAGACTGAGAACAAAGGATGGAAAAACCCAAATTGCATTTAGTGACCCGTGGGACAAAATCAAGGTCAAACAGAAGTGCAAGTGGAGTCCCAGATGGAGGAGAGAGAGGATGGGAAGGAGAAGGAGCACAAGAGAGACTGGGTCCGATAAGAAATGAAGAAATCATGGCCAAAACTTTTCCACATTTGATGAAAAATATAAACTCACAGTTCCAAGAAGCTCAATGAAACCCAAACAAGATAAACACAAAGAAACAGCACATGATCATTTGCTATAAGCTTAAAATGAGTTAATATTTGAATCTTTTAATATCTTTAAATAAATGATCAGATGATGAAAGAACCCCACTCCCACCCTGCAAAAAATAAATGTGGTATGACACACTTTCCTGCTCAGTTACGAGAGCCAGTGCTGCTGGACACAGCCACAACCAGACAGAGAGGTCACAGAAAGGAACAAGCTGGAGCCCAGTGACTCCTCTGAGGGAGAGAGCACTGATCCTCACACACACACCTTCACACACCCACACACACCCTCACACCCACACACTCTCACACACACCCTCACACACACACACCCTCACACACTCATCCTCACACACACTCTTACCCACACACCCTCACACACTCATCCTCACACACACTCTTACCCACACACCCTCACACACTCATCCTCACACACACACCCTCACACACACACCTCCTCACACACACCCTCACACACTCTCACACACACACCCTCACACACACACCTCCTCACACACACACACCCTCTCACACACACACACACACACACCCTCACACACACCTCCTCACACACACACACACCCTCACACACACACCTCCTCACACACACACACCCCCTCACACACACACCTCCTCACACACACACACACCCTCTCACACACACACACCCTCTCACACACACCCTCACACACACACATATGGCAGAGAGCACTTGCTTCTTAGGGCCTGATCACTGGTTCTAAATCAATTAAACACTGTTTCAAAAAAGTGCCTTGTTTTACCAATCAGAGCAAATATTACATATAAGGTGAAGTTTCCAAAAATCTAGTTTTATATCCTATCATGACATAATTTTAAGAAATACATTACAAGCAAATGAGAGAGCTGGAGCTTGGGTAAATGTTTTTACTGCATTATGCTAGTATCGTATATTAGTATGTATTTTAAATGTTTCTCAAATCTATAAATGTTACTTGTATTAAGTCTTCCCACTTACTTATTCCTGCTCACCTACCACAGTGTATAGCCTTTTTAATAAAATAATTCAATGAGAAACTCAGTAATACTCTATAAAGAGCCACTTGAAAAGTTAGCTTTTCAAAACAATGCATTACATTGGATAAGAATTGCTTGTTACACAAAAATTACTTTCTTTGACACACACAGCTCTCTTTTACATTAGGCAGAAAAACACCGCATTTACTTCATCTTAGGATATTTGATGAAACATTATGGTCTGTTTTCTCAAAATTTGTCAGTGTGTTTTGTCTCAAAATACACAAAGGTCTTGGATTAATCCTATTATTTAGAAAACAGGGCTACAAACCCCCATACATTTCAAAAATCAGCAATAATTACACACAGAAGAGACAGTGCTCACCAGCAAATACACTAGGAAGAAACACACAGGTACAAACCACGTAACTTCTCCACAGGAGTCAGGATAGGCAGCCGCCAAGGCTGGTGTCGTTGTGGGGATGCAGGGCCATGGTCTTCTTGAGCTCCTGGTAGCTCCAGTGCATGTGCTCCACTTCTGCCCTGTGCCGCGCCCGTCCCTGGCTCAGCTCCTGCAGCAGGTGCTCATTGGTGCTGACCAGAGAGCTGGAGGAGGACAGGCCACATCAGCCCTTGCTGGGCCCTGGCTCTGCTTCCTTCCCAGCAGCTTCGCCTGGCCAGGCCTGCACACCTCAGCCCACTGGCACCCAACTCCAGCACACAGCCAGGCTCGTCCCAACACCAGGCCATGCCAGCCCACCCAGCTGTCCTGCTGGCTGCTGCCCACCTGCTCCCTCTAGGCCAGGTAGGGCTGGGGCTGCCCTGCAGCAATGAGTGAATGAGCTGACTGGGCAAAGAGCAAACAAATGGCTCCCCCCATTCCTGCCCTGCACAGTTTTCTTGAGAAGATGATGATAACCTTTATGGCTAGCAAAACAATGTGCTGATTCCAGAAAAGATCCAGAGACTGAACTATTTCTAATTCCCAAATACAGTAATTCTGACACAGTAACAGTGTAAAAGAAAGTTTGTGATTTTCAATAGCATTAACCATTTTTATCTCAGAAGGGATTTTTAGAAAGTGCTGCTGCCTTTTACAAACTCTGTCATCCCCAGTCAGCAGTGACATAAGGACATCTGGAGTGTCACAAGCATCATACAAAGCAGGGCACACTGAGCTCAGCCATTTTAGCCACAAAGATGACAAACCCACACGCAGGCGCTGGCTCTGTTTGTTGGGCCACCATAATGGATGCTGGCTGGGCAGAGCCCAGACTGGACATGGTCAGCAGGAATCCCAGGGCGTTGGGAGGCTGTGTCCCCGCCTTGTTCATGTTTAGGCCACGGTGTTCGGAGAGCAGCACCACCAGCACCTTGATCTGCCATAGATGGGCTATCAGGTACCAGGCTGATCAGTCCCTGCCATGACTGCCCTGCAGTGTGGCTGTGACACTCTCTTTCCTTCTGCTCTTCCCTATCTGGTCTCAGTTCAATCTCACCTTTCAGAACTCTCTTCCTCTCTATAACTTGTGTCTCTGATGGGCCTTTGGGGGTCTGTGGCCTTCAGCCTGAATAAGGCCTGGCTACACCTATGACCAGACTGCACCAAATCCAGGAGGTGTGGTAGCCTCTGCCCAAGAAGTGGGAGTGAGAGGAGAGGGTGACGGGAGGGAGGATGAGGGCAGAGAGGAGGCAAGGGCACTGACCACCGGCTGCCTTCCCTGCTGGGGCGACAGGACATGGCTCGCACAGCCGTACCACTTGGCCCAGAGTGACTTGTCCTTGCCTTGGCAGCTCACCTCCTTCCTGAGGCCAACATCCTCTCTGCACCAGCCTCCACCCACTTCCCACCTCTGCCTTGATGGTCCCAGCACCCAGCACACGCCTCACCACCCCCACACCAGGGAGTGAAGGCAGAAGCTCCATGTTCTAAGTGAACAGCCAGGAAGTGCAGGGAAGGTACAGGCAGCAGGCACATAGTCCAGGCGGGCCGGGACACTCTAACCACGTCTCACCATCTTACATGGGCCCCTCACCTCCCCTGGCCACACCTCACAGATCACACCTCACAGCCCACACCTCACAGCCCATACCTCACAGATGACACCTCACAGCCCACACCTCACAGATCACAACTCACAGCCCACACCTCACAGCCCACACCTCACAGCCCACACCTCACAGATCACACTTAGATGACACCTCACAGATCACACCTCACAGCCCACAGCTCACAGCCCACACTTCACAGATCACACCTCACAGCCCACACCTCACAGATCGTACTTCATAGATGACACCTCACAGATCACACCTCACAGCCCACACCTCACAGATCACACTTAGATGACACCTCACAGATCACACCTCACACTTCACAGATCACACCTTCACAGATCACACCTCACAGCCCACACTTCACAGATCACACCTCACAGCCCACACCTCACAGATCGTACTTCATAGATGACACCTCACAGATCACACCTCACAGCCCACACCTCACAGATCACACTTAGATGACACCTCACAGATCACACCTCACAGCCCACAGCTCACAGCCCACACTTCACAGATCACACCTCATAGCCCACACCTCACAGATCACACCTCACAGCCCACACCTCACAGATCACACTTCACAGATCACACTTCAGTCTACACTTTACACTTCACACCTCACAAGTCACACTTCACAGGTCATACCTCACAGGTCACATCTCACAGGTCACACCTCATGGTCCACACTTCACAAATCACACCTTACAAGTCACACTTCACAGGTCACATCTCTTGGTCCACACTTCGTGGATCACACATAGGTCACACCTTACAGAATAGTACTACAGGAAGGCCCTCACTTTTCACTGAGAGAGAGAAGTTCATGGAATTTTTAAGCCAACATAGGATGCACGTGGGTCCTGGATGGCAACCAGCGAGACTCACCACCAGCTGCTCCTCAGTGCCTTCCTGGCGTGACACAGGCCAGCCCTACCCCCTCTCCGTGCCAGGTCTCCTCCCCTCAGCTCCTCCCAGGCAGGTACCTGTGGCTCTCCTGTAGCATCTGGGTGAGCTCCTGGATCTTGTCATAGTGCTCCAGGTGCTGCTTTAACTCCACAATCTCATCAGAGAGCCTCTTCACACTTGTTTGAAGTCCTTATAGAGAACAAAGTATAGCTTTATTTACTGAAACTTATTCATACATTTTGAAAACAAAATCAATTCTAGATTTACACTGCATCTAGGTCACAAGAAAAAAATATCGCTGGAAAAAATCCATTTTTATGAGACTCAAAGAAAGGGTGGGCCGGGCGCGGTGGCTCATGCCTGTAATCCTAGCTCTCTGGGAGGCCGAGGCGGCCGGATTGCTCGAGTTCAGGAGTTCAAAACCAGCCTGAATAAGAGCGAGACCCCGTCTCTACTATAAATGGAAAGAAATTAATTGGCCAACTAAAAATATATACAAAAAATTAGCCGGGCATGGTGGCTCATGCCTGTAGTCTCAGCTACTCGGGAGGCTGAGCCAGGAGGATCGCTTGAGCCTAGGAGTTTGAGGTTGCTGTGAGCTAGGCTGACGCCACGGCACTCACTCTAGCCTGGGCAACAAAGTGAGACTCTGTCTCAAAAAAACAAAACAACAAAAAAAACAAAACAAAAAAAAGAAAGGGTGAACACAAATGCAAGGCCTCACCCAACACGTCTGATCATTTCTACCCCAGGGCCCACCTCTGTTCCTCTCCTTGGGAAGGAAGCTGTGGAAGAGCCACATCCCTACATAGAGGGTCCTGGCACCTGCTGAGACTCCTCCAGGATCTGCCAGCTGGCTGGGCCTCTCTCCCACCAGGAAACAAACTCTGCTCCTGAGGGGAGGGCCTGTGGGTCTGGGGCAAAGCACTGAGAAGCCCACGGTGGCCGCCTGTCTCTGCCGTGCCCTCTGCTTCCACGCCCATCAGTGAGGAGCATGTCACTGGCTTCCACTGACACAACTCCCGTCACCTTCTGGGTTTCTAACTCAAGAGGGGAAGAGATAAATTACTTATTGGCTCCCCCAATCCAAGCATGGGATACAAGTAAACCCACATTTAGAAACACCACTGCAAAACTACACAATGGGGGTAGCTGGAGGAAAGGGGAAAGCCGGAGTGGGCAGTTTATGGGCAATGACACCGATGGCAGATTCTCCTCATCAAGTCCCACCATAGTGGAAGAGCACCTGCAAGTGTCAAGACAATCCCACTCAGAATCCACATCTACTAACATGTCCACTGGAGGGCATGAAGGAATTTTGGGAAGAGGTCAGCATGGTTTCAAGAACTTACAGAATCCCCACGTTAGTCAAACCAGGAGTATTAGATGGCAAAGCCAGAATCCTATGGACAGCATTACAGCACCCCTGTGACAAGAAAGCCTCAAGATCCCAAATGTCAGAGGCTGGGACAAACCCCCGACACCCACAAGTTATGCAAGGTGTCCACATTTGTGGGGGTGAAGCAGTGGTCAAGAGTGGGGCAGCTGAGAGATGTGAGAATGGGAGAGCCCCCAAGTGTCCTGTTTCCCTGGGAACCATAGCCCCACCCCTCTAGTGAGGGTGAGACCAGGTGTCCTGTGCAGTCTGGAGGGACTAAGGGTAATCCCGTGACCCTTTAAAGCTGACTTACCCAGTCCCTTCAAGAACAGGGCCCACAGGTGCAGGGTCAAGGCCAAGGCCACCATAGAGAAGGTCGGGGAGGGAACAGGACCTGAAAATCCCCCAAAGAAGGCTGCCAGATTTTTTATCCATGAGATCAGAAAAGCTGTCCTGACCCTGCCTCCTTCTAGAAATTCAAGAGAACAAATTTCAGGTTCAGATGAACAACAAAAAAGTATTGAAGTCAAATCTCCCATATTTTTATAAGACAAAGGGTCGGAGCACAACAGCATCCCTGCGACAATGGAAGCCATGCCCACGGAACAGACCAAAACCATAACCCACTACTTTAAAACAAGCTAAAGATGAAAAGCAAATGATATAAGACATGAAAGAACAGAATCAGAAAATGTCAGGAAAGAGGTGACTAAACTTGGGAAAGCATTAACAACAAAGGAAAAAATTCACACTAGAAATGAATCCTAAACTAGAAGGAACCTAAGAGAAAGTACAGTAAGTCCTCACTCTGCGTGGTTGACAGGTTCCTGCAAACTGCTTTAAGTGAAACGAGGTACATCGAAACCAGTCTTACCACAGGCTTATGGATATAAGCAAGAGCTAAGTTACTACAGTATATTTACAGTCACAAAAACATCACTGAACTTCTAGGTAAAGATCAAAACACTTCTAATATTAAACATTAAAGTAAATGTGAGCTATGGATACATTTAACACAGATTAATACAGACAAGTAAGATACTAAGTTATTCCAGTTCCGGCTGTGGCTGGCTGAGGCCTATCCTGGCACAAGGTGAGCACCAGCCCTGGGCAGGATGCCACCTGGTCACAGGATGGGCTCAAACACCTGCATTCACACTAGGACAGCCTAGGCTGCTGATACCCTGATGTGCACAGCCTTTGGACGTGAGGAAACTGAGCACCTAAAGAAAACCCACACAGATGTGGGGAGAACATGCCAACTCCACATAGACAGTGGCTCTGGCACAGAATCGATTTTTTTCTCATCGACTTTGTAACAAAATAACATTGAACAAAATGATGTCATGTCTTAAACAAACGTAAGATGAAAAGAAAAATTATGCAAATAAAAAAATGATAAAGGCCTGGCGTGGTGGCTCACACCTGTAATCCTAGCACTCTGGGAGGCCGAGGCGGGCAGATCACTCAAGGTCAGGAGTTCAAAACCCTGAGCAAGAACGAGACTCTGTCTCTACTAAAAATAAAAAGAGATTAATTGGCCAACTAAAAATATACAGAAAAAATTAGCCAGGCATGGTGGCGCCTGCCTGTAGTCCCAGCTACTCAGGAGGCTAAGGCAGGAAGATCGCTTGAGCCCAGGAGTTTGAGGTTGCTGTGAGCTAGGCTGATGCCATGGCACTCTAGCCCGGGCAATAAAGTGAGATTTTATCTCAAAAAAAAAAAAAAAGAAAAGAAAAAGAACCCTTACCATCCAATAAAACAAATCAATAAAAACAAATGGGCAAGATGGGGTGTGGTGGCTCACGCCTGTAACCCTAGCACTCTGGGAGGCCAAGGTGGGCGGATCCTTGGAGCTCAGCAGTTTGAGACCAGCCTGAACAAGAGTGAGACCCCATCTCTACTAAAAAAAATAGAAAGAAAGTAGCTGGACAACTAAAAGTATATATATATATATATATAAAAATCAGCTGAGCATGGTGGCGGATGCCTGTAGACCCAGCTACTTGGGAGGCTAAGGAAGGTGGATCGCTTGAGCCCAGGAGTTGGAGGTTGCTGTGAGCTAGGCTGACGCCATAGCACGATAGCCAGGCCAACAGAGCAAGACTCTGCCTCAAAACAAACAAACAAAAAAAACAAAAACAATGGGCAAAAGATCCAAGCTGACACTGTCTCATCTATGGCTGCTTTTGTGTTATGAAGGCACAGTGAGTTGGGACAGAGCCCATTAGGCCCATGAGCCCTGAAATATTTACGCCTGGCCCTTAAAGGAAGTCCTGGGACCCCTGGGAGACAAGAGTGGGAAGAGGCTCAACCTGCAGTCCTCAGTGAGGCTCAGATTAGATCTTTCAGGAGAATCCACATCACACCCAGGGAAACAGACAACACCATCAATACTTCCTTGTCCCAAACCCAGGTGCCTGAACTTGAAATACTGAATATACTTTTGTAAACATGGCAAAATGGAACCCAAGAAAGTGAAGTGAGGGAAATGAACACTGTCTGGATCTGGAAGAAATAGTGACCAAGAGAAAAAGCCACAGGACACCTGCTGGGAGAGACACAGACTGAGTAGAAACGCAGCCTGAAACTCTAACACCGAGAGATGCGGGGCGACAGCCTCCCTCCCTGGTCCCACAGCACCACGACCACAAGAAGGTACCAGAGGTTTCTAAGAAAAGTCAAAGACAACCATGAGCAGTAACCCACGTGGTGACCGGGCCACTCTGCACGCCTGCACGGGGCCAGTGCCATCGCCTGGGACAGTAGTGGCAGGCGTGGCGAGGACGGGCCCACTGTTCCTTTCTGCTCAGCTCTTTCCACACACAGTCCCCAGCGTGTGCTCCACAAACATGTACCAAGGCAGCCTTCGCAGCAACCAGGAGGGAAGGGCTGGGATCCCCACTCAGAAGCAGAATTCGCTGTGTCTGACTGCCGTCTATTTAAAGTGAAGACTACATATCCATGTTTGAAAACTTATTTTCACAAAGAGATGTTACTAAATAAACTATGAACTTACCAGTGATCTGCAAACTTAATGTAGCTGAAGCATCTGCGTTTTTAACTTCTTTTTTCATGCTGAACAAAAGAGATTTCAAGCTACTATTCTCCTCCAAAGATTTATCTAAATGTTGTCTCAAGTCATCCTAAGAACACATAAAATACACTTAAAATACACAAGTCAAATTCAGTAAAATGCATGTAGAAAATAAAATGAAACCTTTCATTAATCCTCAGAATTTGTTTTCTTTTCTGTAATTTTGAATTGCAACATGAGAGCAATAACCACATTTCACCGTGCAGCTCCCTGACAGCAGGACGTTCCTGCCCAGCACTGCAGCACCTTGGACCGTGGGGGTGGGAGACAGAGAGGGTGGACTGGGTCCCAGTTCCGCAGACACAAGTCCCCCTGCCAGGCATGTGTGCAGCTGCTGGCCCTGCCCCTTCTGACAGCCCCAGGATCACTGCCAGTTCCTACGCCCCTACAGGAAGCCTTTTCTATTTGGGCTCCTCACCCACCCCTGTCATGGGGGAGAACTGTGGCTGGGCCCCTTCACAGTCCCCAGAGTATGGAGAAGACACTGAGCACATGATGAGATGCTGAAGAGCAGGGGAGGGCACCAGGGCCACTGTCCGAGCCAGCCACATTGCAGCATCTGCCACAGCAACATCTGCCACGGCACTCCCAGCTCCTCTCTGGCAACCCTCCGGCACCCTGGAGTCCTGGTGACAAGGGTGCCATCCAAGCTGCCTGAAGCTGCAGCCAGGGTCCCGAGGACTCGCAGGATCACCTGCCTGCGCTGCCCTGGTACCAGCAGGCACATCTGAGGTCTGGAGCTCTGGGAAGACCCCGCCTGCTTCTGTCAGGGGAGCCAACACTTGAGTCCACACGAGATGTGAGCACGCATGTTCAGGAACCTCTGCTCTGTTCTTCACTCGGCAAGTCACCTGCTCACACACGTGCCTGCCAGGCCCCTTCGTGTCCATGGCGAGAGCTGGTCGCTGGCCTGCGGTCATTTCTCTCAGGCTCACCTTTCAATTCCTTCACTCCAGGGTCTTGTCACACTGCTTCCTCCACACTCCGCCACCCATGCGGCACTCCCGAGTCCATGGGGGTGAACTCCGTGAGGCAGGGCTCTGGGCCCCAGCTCTCAATTACAGTCCAGGCCATGACGAACGCGGGTAGCAGTGGATGGACTGGGCACGTCTGCCTCAGAGGCTGTGCCACAACGCACGGTTGGGACCTCCACTTTCACTGCAGGACACCGACTGCAGCTGTCAAAGAAGCGCCACCGAGGTTCATGTGACCACAGGCTGACCATCTTCACCCCGCGGAATACAGTCGAGCTTGGCACAGACCTTCTGGAATGACAGAGGTGTCTCCCTGGAAAGCAGCACCTGCCGGCCAGCAGGGCCCCTGCCCCGAGCTCTAGCTGTCCTGGGCTGTGCCACCACAGGAATTCTGGCCACGCTCTGCTGACCACCACTTCCCCAGGATGGGGTTGACGGTGGACCTGAAGAAGCACCAGCAGGGCTCGGGGCTGCTAGAGTGCTCTGGATCACCTCCCCGGACATGGAACCCTGGGCCACTCCCATCCTGTGGCCTGAGACTGCGGAGGATGAAGGAGCATCCACTGGGCCACATCTGTGCACAAGGTCCACACCGGACAGCACAAAGCAGACTCTTGGGCTCCATCTGTCTGGTCCAGCTGGGGCCAGTGCAGCAGGCAACGGGTGCACCCTGTCGTGTCTGCACCCAACCTAGCAGGCACCGTCCCCCGCCTTGCCATTCACAGGCCACACATGTCCCACAGTCGACGCTCCTGCAGAAAAGACATTCTGCATGGCGACTCCGGTCCAGGCTTCCTTTGCAGATGCAGGAGCCATTGTGCATCTGGGACTGTAACACCTCGCTGTCCTCCTTTTTCTCTAAAAATGGAGCTTTGTGTGGGATCTCTAAAAGGTAGGTTCTCACAAAATAAAGACAGTAAGTGCTTGTCAGACAATCCAGAAGTCCCAGCCATCGTGGCTATTTCCACTCCACTGCACAGATGAGGGCTGATTTGGGTGCCAGGCAGGCAGTGCGAGTGGCCCTGCAACCCCTCCTGGTGTGCTGGCCTCGCAGGCCTCCCCTCACGGAAGAGCTCCAAGGCCGGGCAAGACTTGGCTCTTGCTGGCGCCCAGCCCCTCGCCCTGAGGGCTCTGGCAGCCAGTGAGAGGCCAAGGGCAAGCCAAGACCTCCCGCAAGTGAGCCTGGGGGACAGCCCCGACACAGATGGGACTGCGGCCAGCTCCATGGTGGGACCTGCAGACCCCCGAGACACTAAGTGCATATTGTTTTAGGCCACTCATTTTGGGGTAATCTGTTAGCAGCACTGAATAACCTGCTCAGAGGGGTTAATGACTTGCCCAGTGGACCTGGCTGGCAGCCCCACAGCTGAGCCACTCAACTGGAGAATGCTAGCTTTTTAAAGTATCGACTTTTTAAAAGGAGAACATCTCAATGGTCTGAAATACCATAAAAGCTGTCCAGGCTTAGCCCGGGCCCCAGTGTGCCCGTGAGTGCCACCTGGCGGGGAGGGCCCTTAGGTCACACAGAGCAATGCCCCCGCAGCCCCGCAAGCACCCAGGCTGTGGCCTCAGCCCCGTTCCGCCTCCTCAGGCCCTAGAAGAAGAGAAGGCAGCCGCCCAGCAACATCGCCAGCTCCAGGTCGTTGAGCGCCCGTGGGGACTGGGAGTGGAACAGAGGCAGGTGGTGCCCCCAGGGGGCAGCCAGAGCCCAGCAGGAGGGACACACAGCTGAGGGGCAGCATGGAGTCCTGGGGTTGCCCTCGTCCCATGGAGTCGAGAGCACATTTCCACCCAGTCCTGTGGACACGCAGAAACAGCACAGGGCGAGGCTCACCATCTCCTTCCGAGTGCGGCTGAGCTCTGCCGTCACCTCGCCCATCTTGGCGGTGTACCACTGCTGCTGGCTGGCAAGGTGACTTTGCAGAGACTCGTTCTCAAGAGTCAGGTAGCCGACTTCTTCATTCACAACCACTGAATTGTCCTGAGCTGCTGTAAATTCTTGAACAGAGGACAGAATGTGTCTTGCCTGAGCTAGGAGTAAAAATCAAATATTAACACAGAATTAATATTTAAAGGATGAAGTATAAACAAAGCATGTTCAATACATTTTGAACTGCACAGACTATGTGCAGGCCTGGGGAGGGGCAAAGGGATGCTGGTGCCACAAAACCACCTCACTCTGGTATATCTAGGTCCAGTTGTGGACAGGGTGGGGAGCAGAGGAAATGGCTTTTATTCCAGAAGAGAAGTGACCAGTGAGAGACGGCTGCTGATCACAGACAGCCACACCTGGCGGATGCTGTGGCAGCTTGCCACACCCTCAGCAGGCACTGAGGGCACCTGGCCTGGGACCTGCTATGCGAGTCACAGCCAGCAGCGCCACACTGGGACTGTGGCTGGACAACAGGCTCAGGAACAGGCTCAGGAAGCTCCTCCATGACGCTGCCCTCACGAGAGGGTGGAGCTTTACAGATTTGTGGGGCTAGGATCCAGGGGCTGCAGCTTCTCAGGGTGTCCCAATTCAAGGAGGGGCTGTGGGGCCACAGCATGTATGGAGTGGTCAGGAGCCCCCAGGGCGGTGCCCAGGGTGTGCTGGGACCACTGAGCTGGCAAGGCTCGGCACCTGAGGGACACCAGTGGCCACACTCAGGCTGCAGGACAGACAGAAGGCAACCGCCTGGGGACCCAGCAGCCCCTGGTCTCACAGCATGACCTGGGATGATGACTCTGCTGTGTTCCTACCCCAGTCACCTGATGAAACTGATGGCCCCCCCCCTCTATGGGAGGACCATCCTCCCAGGCTCCAGGTTGCTCCCACCAAAGCTGTACAAGTCCAGGGCGCTGCACACGATGCCAGCACGCGGGGCACTGGGAGAAGGTGCGGCAGCAAATCCCCACATGAAAACCAAGCACCTGTGGGCAGCATCTGCAGTGAACCAAGAGGACAAGCTACCTCCACAAACCCCAGGGCTCCTGCTGCGGTGGGAGGCAGAGAAGACGTTAGGCACCCGGTGCCAGGACAACACAATGCCCGGAGCCCCACGAGGTGCACACGCAGACCCCAAGCCCTGCATGCTTCCGGGGGCTGAGCCGCCTCATGCCCCGACTCACCGAGGAATACCTCATTGCTCTGCAGCGACCTGCAGCCATGCCAGTACTTGTCCACCAGGTCTAGGAGCGCCTCCAGGACCACCACCTCCAGGGCAGCCTTCTCCCTGGGCAGAGCTGCTGAGCGCAATTTGAGTGACAACTGTGGAAACAAAATCATGACACCAGCAGGTTCCTCCATCAAACGAGGTCTCTCACACCAGTGTACACCCCCAGGTTGTGTCTGCTGGCAGGGGCAGAGGGGCCATGAGGCTGCTGTGCCCGTAGGAGGGGTGCCTTGGCAGCACCAGTCCCACAGCTGGCCGGCGCTTGTGTGGGGTCAGGGAAGGGGATGACAGGACAGGGCAGCCCCTACACACCCCCAGCTCAAGCAGAGCCCTTGCCCCTTCCCCTCAATCCAATGCAACAAGACACACAGAGACCATGGCCAGGCCACAGGGACACACACAGCTCTGCCCACAAGTCTGCCTCTTCTCTCCCAGCCGGGCTCACGGGACACCAGTTGCTCTAAGCAGTGGTCTAGGAAGACGAGCAACAGCCTCGAATGGTACGACCCAGGCGGCCCTCACTCGATTTGTGCCTACAGCTCAGGACCAACCAGGGAAGTCAGACACACCATCGTGCCACAGGAAGGCACCCAGCATTCCCTTCTGGCCTCCACCAGAGCTGCATACTCCTCTGCCCACCCGAGTCTCCCTGTCTAGCAGGCACTGAGTCACCAGCCTCTGGCCAGTCTCCTCCAGGTGGCCTGCACCATGTCCACAGCAGGCACACTTCAAAATGTCCATCAGGGGCCAGGTGGCAGAGGTCACAGAGGGGCTGTCCATGTGGCCTCAGGTCCCTCTGAGGGGGAGAACTCTCTGGAAAACCACAGATGCGTTTCCAGGACTATCCCCTCGTGACAGGGTCACCAAGGGCTCCAGCTGGCCGAGAGGACCAGCAAGCCTGGCAAGTCCCTGCCCACCTGTTTTTGCGCTTCCACCTCAGCATGCAGGAGAGGTGTGGCGCACGGAGCCAGCTTCTGCCAGAACAGAGGCAGCAGACACTGAGAAAGAGCACAGTTAAGAGCGACGCTCATTCTGGGTCACGGTCCACACTGAGAATACAGTCCCGTGCGGCTGGGCGTGCTAGGGGTGTCTGCCATCCCTAGCTCACCTCTCTGGCATTGGTTGAGCCCTGAGACCGCTGCTCTTCTGTTCCCGATGAAAAGGTCCTCTCGCTCCTGCCTTCTGAGCCGTTCTGTCTGCTCAGACTCTCCGTGGGGCTGGAGGGCCTGTCAGTCCTCTCCAGGCAGCTCAGACAGTCCTGGTTCAAGGGCCCCTGGAATCTCCCACCAGGCATTCTTCGCTTCCTGTGCTTTTCAGGGCCAGGCAAAGGACGAAGCACCTTCTGTCCTGACAAACTTGACTTCTGAGAAGAGGCTGAGTCCTCAACATCCATGGGGTCTGTAACATAGAGAGGACCAAGCCCTCGTGAGACCAAGTTCTCTGGGCTCAGGGGCCAGAATCATAATTTTTAGAAGGTATGTGCTTGCGCACACTTGTGCACATGCGTATGTACATACACGGGTGTGTATGTACATGCACGGGTGTGTATGTATATACACACGCCCATACACCTGCACACACAGAGGGCGGGGTGGAGGGCACAGGGGAAGGGTGTGAACGTGTGGAGTCTGCAGGGAGCAGATAGGAAGCATCCCTGTTCTGCTGGGACAGCTTCTCCACAAGCTGTGCACTCTGACGCTTCACGGGGACTGTGCTTCAATGCAGAGCTCTGGACAGCACCAAGAACCTGCACATTTCTGAAGAGCGCTGAAGGGATAAAGACGTGATGGCCCACTCTGCGCCTCTGCTGAGCACTGTGCTCGAGAAGGCGTGGCAGACAGGGCATGAGGGACCTGGCCTGGGGAAGGACGATGAAAGCAGGAGGGTGAGCCTGGCCTCACCCACAGCCTCAGCTCCAGGGGGCCATGCCACCTCACTGCCCTAACCTGGGCCATGTTAACAAGAAAGTGAGAGAGAGCAAAGGGTGTGGGAGGGAGAAAGTGTGCATGTGTACCCATGTGCAGATAAAAAGCACCTGTTTTTACAGATCATGAATCTAAAATCTATCAGTTCCACAAACAAATGCAAACAAGGAGAACAGGATAAATTTTATAATAATAGCAGACATTGTGAGAAATATTTAGGTGCTTACAAAAGAACTCATGGGGAGGAATCGGCTGGGTTGCGTGCTGTCAAGGATCAAGTATGTCCTAAGCTCACATGTTGGAAATGCAATTGCCACTGTGACAACGTTAATAAGTGTGGCCTTTAAGTGGTGGTCAGATCATGAGGGCTGTCATCACGGGAGAGTGCTCCTGATAAAAGGGTGAGTTCGGCCCCGTTTAACGTCTGTCTCTTGCGTTTGCTTCTGCCTGCCGCCTGCTGCCACAGAAAGGCTCTCACCAGGTGCTGGCACACGCTTGGGACTTCCCAGCCTCCAGAACCGTGAGCCACACAAACTTCTGTTCTTTATCAATCACCCAATCCCTGGCATTCCGCTGTAGCAGCAGCAAATACACAAACACATGTGTGGTCACCTGGGTGTGGGGGGAAGTGGGCGTGTGGCCCGCAGGTACAGTGACCCTCCGGCGCAGCTCCACGCTGTGGCGGCTGCTTCTCCACCCAGCAGCCTCGGGGGCGGCTCCTCCTCTCCTGGCCCTGCTGCCCGGAGTCCCCACACTGGTGCCGCACCGATCGAGGGCTCAGCGGATGTCTGGATTCTATTTTGTTAAAGAACATTTCAACAATGTCATTTCATTAAAAATTACACTTTAAGCATCTGAGAGTATATGATATCTATCTATTAACTGCATTTTCCTTAAATCAATTAAATTAGAAAAAGATGGCCGGGCGCGGTGGCTCACGCCTGTAATCCTAGCACTCTGGGAGGCTGGGGTGGGCGGATTGCTCGAGGTCAGGAGTTCGAAACCAGCCTGAGCAAGAGCGAGACCCCGTCTCTACTATAAATAGAAATTAATTGGCCAACTAATATATATAGAGAAAAAAGTAGCCAGGCATGGTGGTGCATGCCTGTAGTCCCAGCTACTTGGGAGGCTGAGGCAGGAGGATCGCTTGAGCCCAGGAGTTTGAGGTTGCTGTGAGCTAGGCTGACGCCACGGCACTCACTCTAGCCTGGGCAACAAAGTGAGACCCTGTCTCAAAAAAAAAAAAAAAAAATAGAAAAAGACAACTGAGTGGGTTAGTTACGCATCAGCCAACATCATTGCTCCACGAGCTCCAGAGGGACGGACCAGAGCTGGGGCAGATGCTGTCCAGCACATGACCGACGGCGAAGTCACAGCCACCAGGCGGGGGTGGGGTGGGTGCAAAGACAGACAGGTGACCCCTGCACAGATGAGAAGATCTAGAAACAGACTCAGATAACTGATTCGAACACGTGTCGAGGTATTAAGAATTAAACGAGGAAGAAGTCTTTCCAGCAAATGTCATCAGAGCAACCAGATACACAGCACCCCTCGGTGCCCACGGGGGACAGGCTCCAGGACCCCCAAGGACACCTAAGTCCAAGGATGCCGAAGCGTGTGGCATGACCTGTATGCATCCCCCCGCATGCTTCACGTTGTCTCCACATCACTTGTAACACCCAACCCAACGTGAACGCCGAGCAGCGGGCGCGGCAGCGCCAAGGAGGGGGGATTGCCTGAGCCCAGGAGTTAGAATCCAGCCTGCGCGACACAGCGAGACCCCCACATATAAATAAAAATTAAGAATACAAATAAGTAAAAAAATATAAAATGCCATGTAAATAGTTATTATACTGTATTGCTTTTTGTTTGTATTTTTATTGTTGTATTAATACGTTTTGAGTATTTCCCACCCATGGTGGACGGACTCTCTGGACATGCAGCCAGTGGATAAGAAGAGCCGACCATATGTGGGGGGTCTTGACGCACCAACTCACAACACATAAAAACTAACCCATAACGTGAACTGCCTGGACACGGAGATGGCAGGGCATCTGCCAGCAGGCACAGAAGCACAGGGTGGATGAGGTCTTTACAGAACACAGAAGCCCCAAACCATTAAAGGAAAAACTCATAAACGGACCTTCTTTGAAATTAACAATTCTGGTCTTTGAAGCATTGGTAAGGAAATGAAAAGGCCGCAGAATGGGAGAAAATCTGCAGTACTTACATCTGAGAAATGGCTTGTACACAAAAACCACAAAGGACTCTCACAACTCAACACCAAGAAGAGGGACAACCCCACTCAAAAGAGGGTGGACAGAGGTGAACAGAGGTGTCACAAAAGATGAACAAACGGCCAGTATTTCAACATCAAGTCTCCAGAAAACACAAATTAGACCATGACACACCAGTGGGGGGAGCCAGAACAGAAGGGGCTGGCGGTGCCGAGTGCCGGTGGGAAGACGGCTCAGGCCACAGGTGAATCTGGGATTTCAGCCCAAAACTCACATCTCAACCTGCTGTTAGTTTCATGAAAAGCTCTGAGAAACTCCTAATGGCGTAGGAATGAAGGAAGCCAAGGCCAATGAACAAGTCCCAGTGGAAAGCAGAGTCCCTGGGCCGAGCACACCAAGTCCTCAGCGTGAGTGGAGAGTCCACAATGTTCTGGTCAGCCCTCGCATCCACACGGGGCAGCCTGAGCTTGGTGTGTGCTGAGAGCAGCCACGTTGCCCTAGTGGTTTACGTGGGTAGTAGCTCTGCTGGCCACGGACATTTGACCTTCCTGTTTGTTTTACACGGTTTACCTTTTCCCGTGATCTGAGAAGAATAAAATTTAAATAACCATGCAGTATGACTATGCTCGACTCAAACACATTAACTTTTCCTTTTATAATTCTGTCTTCCAAATTACTGGCATTCAAAAGCACACAAAGACTTCACGAAGAGCCTGTCCTTGCAAGTAGGTCTTGTAAGAGGTGCACCTGTGTGTGCTGAAGCCCATGACCACTAGCACCCAGGCCCAGCAAGGGCTGAGCAGCACACCTTGGGAACTGCGCATGTCGTCCTCATGCTCCTGCTGGCCGGAGCCTGCGCTCCCAGGAGGATTGCGCAAGTCCCACTCGCACTCAGCAATGAGGTTCAGGACCGCCTCATCGTCCGCGTCCATGGCCGAGCACGTCCTGGCTGAGGAGTCGGTGCCCATGGCTCTAGGGTGGCGAGGTCTGCAAGGAGAAGCAAGTGCATCAGCATCACTGCCGCCAGCGGTGCGCTCCCGCCGCTCAGATCCCGAGGAGGGGAACACCCCATCTCTGAGGAGGAGGAGTTGGGGCAGCTGTGGTGCAATGGACCTTATCACCCTGTTCCCGGGACAGCTGGCGAGGGACAGCACTGTCATGTGGTGCCAGCACCCACCCACCAGCAGGCTAAAAGCAACAGTTCCGTGGAGTTCTGCAATCTTCCGGCAGGTTAAAATTCAACTTGCTCTTTTCCTAGGACATCCTCAGTGAGACACATGTGATTTAGAAGAGAAAGGACGTCATATCCCAATGTCTGTTTTTACATTAAGGGAAACTATTTCCACGCTGACTACGACGTAAGATGTGGTAGAACTCGACATGCCTCGCCAAGGGACCCTCTACGTGAAGGTGAATGCACTCAAAGGGGGCCTGGTATCTTACAAAGGCAGTTTAAGAGGTCACTCTTCAAAGCGAGCGTGACGACACCCACGGTGAATACTGCTTCCATGAGGCAGTGTATGTGGACGACCCCTGACCCACTGAAGGGGCTGGTCTCACTCCCCGGTGCCAACCCGAGCACTGGCAGCGCTACAGAGCATGGCACAAAAGGGACCTGGGTTCCGGTGCTGGCTCTTCCCCCAGAAACCTGCCGCCCAAGAACAGCTCACTGGGTGCACTGTCACCTCTGGGTGGGAAGGAGCCTGGCCCAGGTCATCATTAGGTCCCTGAACTCGAATCTCTGTGATGATTCAGTCTTGAGACTATCAGACAGGCAGTGCTTGGTACCCATAGCTAAAGCTGCTGCATAGCAACACACAGCAACAGATGCTCACAGACAGTCCTATAGGATCTTAGTCACCAAAACTCAAGTGTTTAGTGTCATTTTGATATTAAGCATACTCTATTCTAATTATCCAGATATTAAAAGATTGTGTATGGTATGAAGAGTAATTTTACATAAAATGGCACTCCACATGTTTGTATGTGCACTACAGAAAAAATGGAAAACTGTTGGTTATGGTTACATGAAGAGTGAACGGGGGAGGGAAGAGACTTTTACTCACTTAAAATAATTAATTTCTATGATGTTTGCAACATTTACAATAATGAAATATTATTGTAAAGTTCTTAAATACATGAATCTAGAAAATACAGTAAGATATTCATAAGAGATCTATTGACTAGAATACAGCATTCCCAACCACGCTGAGTAAAAATGCTTACTTTATTTCTCATAGTATTATTAATACAATGACAAAAGAAAAAATCTGAAACATTTTTATAAATCAGAATATTAAAAATATATTCAGCAAAAATGGCAGAGATAGTTACTCCAAATTCAGCACCTCCATGAAAGCAACTAAAAAGCAGGGGCAGGGGCAGGGAGGGAATGTCATAAACGACATTTTTGGATGTCTCTGGAAATTAACAAAGAATTATACAACCCAGGTTGCGGTTACCCAGGAGCAGCTGCCGGCGAAGACAGTGACTCTGCAGTGCTTTAAGTTGCCTTGTCTGACCCTTCTCCCCAGCCCCATAGCAGCTGTGAAATGACGGCTACATTTGAGGTACATGTTGAGCATCCTTAACCCAAAAACCCAATATCTGAAATGCTCCAAAATCTAAAAATTTTTGAGAACTGACACTTTTGAGCTCAAAGCAAATGCTCATTGGAGCATTCTGGATTTCAGATTTTTGGATTAGGGATGCTTAACTGGCAAGTACAATGCAAATAATCCAAAATCTGAAAAACACAAAATCTAAAACACTTCCAGCCCCGAGCATTTCCAACAAGGGATCCTCAACCTGCACTGAGTACCCAGGACTTCAGGAAGCAGAACAGGTCTCATTCACAAAGATGGGTAAATGATTACCGTTCTGCTCGGTCCCTGAAGGACCAGCCACAGGCGTGCAGTGATTCTACCTAACGTGCAACTGGCCAACCCTGCAGCGGCAGGAGGTGGGGTGCTTGCTGAAGATACGCACAGGCTCACATCCCAGTTGCTGCTGCCTGAGGTGATAGCTGGCAGCTGGACGGAACACCAGCAAAGAAACCTGGGAGAAAAGGCTTCAAAAAGCTCCAAACATAGAAGGCCACACGCACGATCGAGAAAGACCTGAGACGGCCCAAGCCTTTCTCGCCTCCTGGTGACCTCGAGGCTCTGTGGGAGAAGGAACGAAGGCTGAAGCAGAGCTGTGCACTGCCGGTTGGGCACAGGAGGCCCCAGCACACAGAGCCTCCTGCCGTAGGACATCTGCATCTAAGTGCCTCGTCACTCCGCTGATGGAACAGAGACTTCATGAGCCACACATGATAGAGAATACAAACCTTACACAATGGGTTCAGACAAGCAAATAATGTCAACTACAACAAGCAATAACAGTAACAGATCCAGGGAGCTTAATATCCAAAATGTGCAGTTACCAACAAAAATTAAAAGGGATGTAAAGAGACAAAAATGTTATGAACCATACACAGAAAAAGAATTAATAGAAACTGTGCCTGGAGAAGTCCTTCTAGACAAATTTTGGGCCTGAAAAGTACAATCAAAATGATAATTTCACTGGAAGTGCTCAATAAAATATTTTGGTAGGCAGGAGGGTCAGCAAATTTAAAGATAGGGTAGTTGAGGCTTTCCGGTCTGAGGAATAGAAAAAAAAAAGCAGAATGAAGAAAAATGAACGATTTCAAAGACTCTAGGACACCATCAAGTCAACCAACATACACTTACTGGGAGACTCGGAAGAAGAGAAGAAGAAAAGGAACAGAAGGAGTATTTAAAGAAATAATGGCTGAAAACTCCCCAAACTTGATGAAAAACATTAGTCTACTGTGATATTGTGAAATACATATTTCATCTTCCTCCCCATTCCCAGCTCCTAAAACCTTTGGAATCTCCAGAGTGATGTGTCTTTTGTATGCTTACAAAAAAGTGGGGGACCCCTAGACAGATTCAAGGTGGGGGTTGGTCACCAGAAAGACCAAGGCAGGATTAGAGGGTTGGGACTTTCAGCAGCCCCCAAGCTCCAATGGGGAAGAAGGGCTGAAGGGTGAGTTGAATATAACAGGCATTGTCCTGTTGGGCTGTTGTCCTGGAAAAGAATTGGACCCTTTCTGTTAAATGCTGGCTGTGGGTATTGCAGTTTTCAGTGCATCTCACAGATTTGCTGAGCAGACTTCTTAGATGTGATGGGTTTTTTTGCTGGGATCCAGAAAGCTGGAGTGGATCAGACCAGGAGCAGACCACAAAACAGTGACCATGACCTTTTTTTGGTGCAAGCTTGGCTTTGGGACATGCTTTGGAGCTTCTTCTTGCTCCAACCAATGAGCTGGTGGTCGCTGGTTGTTGTATAAAATCCACCCTTTGTCACATGTCACAATCCAATTGAAAATGGTTCATTGTTCCGTTCAAGAGAAGATGACACTTCAAAATGACAGTTGTTTTTGGTTTTGGTCACCTCATGAGGCACCTACTTATTGAGCTTTTTCACCTTTCCAATTTGCTACAAATGCCAAATGACTGTAGAAGGGTTGACCTTGAGTTCTTCGACAAATTCTTGCGTGGTTGGACAAGAATCAGCTTTGATGACTGCTCTCAATTGGTTGTTGTCAACTTCTGATGGCCGGCCACTGTGCGGCTCTTGTCTTCTTTGCAAAACTTCTTGAACCACCACCACACTGTATGTTCCTTAGCAGTTCCTGGGCCAAATGCGTTGTTGATATTGCCAGTTGTCTGCACTGCTTTATGACCCATTTTGAACTCAAATGAGAAAATCACTAGGTCAAATGGTAGTTCTACTTGTAGCTCTATGAGGAACCTTCATGTTACTTTCCACAGAGGTTGTACTAGTTTGCAGTCCCACCAGCAGTGTATGAGTGTTCCCATCTCTCCACACTCTTTGCATCCATGCCAACATTTATTGTTTTGGAACTTTTTGATAAAGGCCATTTTCACTGAAGATAAGTGATATCTCATTGTGGTTTTGATTTGCATTTCCCTGATGATTAGAGATGTTGAGCAATTTTTCTGTTTCTTGGCGATTAGTCTATCTTCTTTTGAAAAGTTTCTGTTCATGTCCTTTGCCCACTTTTTGATAGGGTTGTTTGATTTTTTTCTTGCTGATTTTCCTGAGTTCTATATAGATTCTGGTTATCAGCCTTTTATCGGATGTGTAGCATGAGAATATTTTCTCCCATTCTGTAGGTTGTCTGCTCTCTTGACAGTTTCCTTGGCTGTGCAGAAGCTTTTTAATTCGATCAGGTCTCATTTATTTATTTTTGTTGTTGCTGTGATTGCCTCTGGGGTCTTCTTCATAAATTCTTTGCCTAGGCCAATGTCTATAAGAGTTTTTCCAACATTTTCTTCTAGAATTTTTATAGTTTCATGCCTTAGATTTAAGACTGTTATCCACCATGAGTTGATTTTTGTGAGAAGTGAAAGGTGTGGATCCTGTTTCAGTCTTCTACAAGTGACTATACAATTTTCCAAGCACCATTTATTGAATAAGGATTCTTTTCCCCAGTGTAAGTTTTTGTCTGCTTTGTCAAAGATTAGATGTCTATATGAGGATGGTTTTATGTCTGGGTTCTCAGTTCTGTTCCATTGGTCTATATCTCTGTTCTTGTGCTAGTACCATGCTGTTCTACTTCCTATAGGCTGAAGTGTGCTAAATAGACACCTCTCAATTTGTTCCTTTTGCTTAAGATTGCTTTTGCTATAAGGGGTCTTCTCTGTTTCCAAAGGAAACACAGAATTATTTTTTCTAGATCTGCAAAAAATGATGTTGGTATTTTAATAGGGATTACATTCAATCTATAGATCACCTTGGGTAGTATAGACATTTTAATAATGTTGATTCTGCTGATCTACGAGCATGGTTTTCCACCTGTTTATGTCCTCTGCTATTTCCTTCCTCAGTGTTTTATAATTCTCCCTGCAGAGGTCTTTTACTTCCTTAGTTAAATATATTTCTAGGTATTTTAT